GCAGTCTGGCAGTTCCTCAAATAGTTAAACACCGTCACTATATGATCTGGTGACTCTACTCTTAGGTATATATCTGAGCAGTAAAGACACAGGCCCACATGAGATCTTGTCCATAGCTTTATTCTGAATACCCCCCAAACAGGAGACCCAGTGTCTATCAACTGGTGAATACACTGTGATATGTAAAGCAGCGGAATGCTTTCAACAATACAACAAGAATTACAGGTAACACACAAGATTATAGATGAATCTCAAAAGTATGCTAGGTGGGAAGACAGACCCAAAAGACCAGATACTGAATAACTCCACATAAAGTCCCAGGCAGAACAAGAATGAAAGAAAAACCAACAGTGGTTGCCAGTGGCTGGGACAGGAGAAAAGGGGTGGTTGCAAAAGGCCATGAGGGAACTTTCTAGGTTGCTGGTAATGTTCTGTATTCTGATCGTGATTGTGGTTGAGTAACTGTACACATTTGTCAAAACCCACCAAATCGTACTCTTAGAATGAGTAAACTTCATCGATGTAAACTTGATCTCAATAAATCTGATTTAAGTTTAAAATAGAAGGTAAAGAAACCCATTAAACTGGTAACCGTGGTTAGCTTTCAGTAGCGAGATTATGGCTGATTCTTCACATTCTAACTTCTGCGCCTTTTCCCAGGGCAGATAATGCATTTCTTTTAATGCCTGGACTGAACATTTACAAAGGAGAGACAGAATTTTACCAGGAGAAAGAGCAGCCTTTCTGGTTAACTTTCTCACCAGAGCACAGAGGTTCGGAAGCCCCTGATGCAAACCTGGCTTTGCCATGGCTGTGGTGTGTGACACGTGAGTCATTTCAACTTCGTGGGCCTCGGTTTTCTCTACTGCATCCCAAAGGTGGGAGCTGGGTAAACCTCAGGGATATTCTCCAGTTCTCATTCCTTCCAAAAGAACTTGGAATTGAGATTATTCAACTTAGTGTTAGATAACAATGTCTAGTATGGTTGATTCCAAAAATTGTTTTTGTCTGTATCTTAAAGACACTCCTTCTGGTAAACTGAGGTACTTAATAAAAGCTCTGTGAAGAGGTTTGAATGAGCTGAAATGACTCTGCATACATAGTGTAGCTAAACCTGTGTGCGCCCGCCCCAAGAATGGACGTCTGCAAAGCCCAGAGGCAAAGCTGGAGTCCTACCTGTTTTCTTGCAGAGGAAAGAGGGGAAAGCAGATACATCCCTAACCCAGAAATCAAAATAAAACATCTGAAACACTGTGGTCGTGCTGCCCCACGTGGAGAGCTCCACGCCCAACCTCATGTGATGGGTGGCAGTCCTAAGGCAGGTGCACTAAAGCGCTGTATGAAACCGGCTTCAGGTGATGTGTGTAAGGTGTTACAAGAAGCAAATATGAGTTTTGCATTTAGACCTGACTCTCAGCCCTGAGGTACCTCGTTATGGAATATATGCACATATCCTACAATTTGAAATACCTGAAATCCAAAACGCTTTTGGTCTCAAGCATTACAGATCAGAGATACTTAACCTGAACTTCCAGGTAATGGAAAAACAGGCCCCGCTCTGGTTGGGTCCTGCTGTGTCCATCAGCCCTCCACATTACTTGTGTCGTCTCTGTGACCCTCACCCACACTGCAGAGGCCCGATGAACCCACTTCACAGATGGGAAAATTGAAGCCTAGAGCAGCAAAGCACCTCCAAGAATTTTAGAAACCAGGTCTGGCCACCTCCCAAAACCTCAGATAGCAAGCTACCAACTTCATTTGCTACCTGGGAAGTCCCTGTGTCCCTCTTTCAGCTGTGGTCCACCTGGCTCGACTTTAATAAGGGGCTGCAAGAGAGGATGTCAGAGCGGGTCCTCTATGCTAATCTTCTTCCTGCATCACCCAGAGCCACGCAGGGTGGCTGATGAGGGCCTGCTTGGAATTCACCTCCAAGTTGGAATCCCAGTCTACTCATCACTGTGATTTCTGAACCCTGGGCAAGTTACTGTTTCTGTGGAGTTAATACAGGCATTTAACCCAGAGGACTGTTCTGAGAATTGAATGGTGACAGTGTATAAAACTCTTAGAACAGCACCTAGTACCAAGTTCTAATGATCTTGGATTGTTTTTATGGGCTGTGCAACTTTTAGCCAGTGATTTCTGAACTTCAGTTTTCTGAACTTCAGTTCTTCACCTGTATAAAGGGCATGAAAATGTGACCGTAATGGGCTTGTTGGAGGAGCTGATGAAATACCCCAGGTAAAGGCAGGCACTGCACCTCACATGTTGCAAGCGCTCACTAAATGTTGGCTATTATTAGTATCATTGTGGCCAAGGCACGCTCCTGAGCTGCTGCCAACTTTGCCCACAGTTCAGAAAGGAAGTTTATTAGCGTGAATTAGCCCGTGCCATTCAGCAGCCTCTTAATGAGATTGGTGTTATTCGAGGCTGATCCACCTTATCAGCGGAGCTGTGAACTGCTCAGCTCAGGACGCTTAATTTCTCTCCACGGAGCCAATCCTTTAATCCCGATTCAGGCTGGCTGGGATTCCGCCTGGCTTTTGGTTGGTTTGCTGTGGTGCATTCTCTGGCCGCGCTGGACCAGAACAAAGCAACCCACAGCTCCAGGGGAAATGAGTCCAGATGCCTGGAGAGGTGGGGCCACCTCAAGGCTCAGCCTCGATTTGCATCTTAATGGACGCTGTCCTCCATCTACCCAGGGGTGGGAAAACACTAGCAGCCTCTCTCCTCCCTAATTAGGGTTTAGCTTCCAGAAGCTGTCAGCAGGCAGGTGGAGTGTCAGGGCGTCAGAGTAGAGGGCTGAAGGCTGTGAGAGTCTCACTCAAGTGACACGTTCAGTCGGTGGTCCCCAACCACAGTGCCACTGACACTAGCCCAGGGTCGCTGGTCTCCCACGGGGGATAGTCTACACACCTGAGTGGGCATTCAGCGCCTTCCCCCCCAGGGGTGGCTGAGACCCTGGAAGCTGGTGTAAGGAAGGCAGCAGGAGATCTGGGGTCTGTGTGAGCTTGTTTTAGAGATGAAGACAAGGTTTCCCGGCTGAGGTCACCAAGGCACATCAATGGAGCGAACTAGGATTCCAGTATGCTGGGTGCCATTAGGAGCACAGCCCTGACTTTAGAGCTCATCAGAAATAAAAAAGACCCTTAAAAGTATCATATGAGTTAGTGCCCCGCATAGGTGCCTGATAAGTGTATGCTGAATAAATGAATGAACGAAGGGTACACTAATAAAACAGTAACGAACATTAAATAGGTTCTAGGACTATAATATTTTTGGTTTTTTTTTTTTTTTGTGACAGGGTCTCACTATGTAGCCCAGGCTGGCCTTGAACTTGCAGGATCCTCCTGCCTCAGCCTCCTGAGGGCTGGGATTACAGGTGTGTGCCACCACACCTGGCACTAGGACTGTAATTTTGTGCCTATTAGAACAGACCTGAAAGAGTAAGTGAAAGATCTATAAACCTTACAGGGTTACAAGTACCAGCAACAACAGTGGCAAAAGAAGTAAGGGCAGCTGCCAATTACTGAACCAGCATGTTGGGCTAAGCACTTCATTTCTATTTCTATTTCTAACACCTTGCATGTGGGTTCAACCCACAGTCCAGGGACCACTTGCCTCCCCCCTTTTTAAAAAAATGATAATAAAAAAATTTTTAAAAAGAAACTTCTGTTACCGTATTATGCACTAACTGTATTACGCATTTTATATGCAGCACAAGAGAGTTCTCTTCACTCTGTGGCCCACGTAAGCCAAAAGGCTGAATGCTCATGCAGGGATCACTGTAAGGGACAGGTGGAAGGACAGCTAGCTGCACCCTGCCGGGATTCGTATTTCATTTTGTAGAGTGTTAAGGTGTCCCTGAACAGTGGCTCTGAGTGTGTTTCAGCCATGGATCTAGGCTGGTGCACGGACTACTTCTTGCCCCTGGAATTTGAGTATCTGTGACAGGTGTTACTTGTGGTCTGAGGTGGTACAGAAATGTGCTGTCCTCACAGCCTCCCTGTCTCCCCAAGAACTAGACCCCCCCAGGGTAGGAAGGAGCTGGATCCCCAAGTCACTGTGGGGGAGCCTCCTAACCAGGCTGCTTGCACTGGGCTGTAATGTTAAGAAGAGGATGACGTGCATGTTAAACCACTGGGAATCTGGGGCTTTTCACCTTTATAACAAATAGTATCTCCCTTATGGAAACAGAAATTCTACCAGAAGTGGGGGCTGCCTGACCAAAGCCTGCAGCTAGAGATGGGAACATGTGCCAGGTAGGGAAGACAGACCAAGACCCGTACTATGTGGCCACAAAGTACAAGACAGGAAGGCTCCGAGAGTGCTGCACCTGGGTGCACAGCAGTGGTTCTCAGGGCAGTTCCTGGGCCAGCAGTGCCAGTACGGCCAAGGCCTTGTGATCAGAAGTGGAACCCTAGGCTTGCCCTGCACCTGGACAATCAGAAATTCAAGGTGGGGCCTAGAAACCTGCCCTGAAAAGCCTTCCTGGTGATGTAGACGTGCCCTGCTTTATGGACGAAGTGTCACAGTGCATGAAGTCTGTGTCCTGGGCCGGACTAATCCCAGCCTGCTGCAGGCTGTAGGCCTCTCCGTTCTCACATTCTGCCTCTGCTCACCTTGATCTTGGGTCACTCAGTTCCTGCCTGGCCCTTGGGCTCAAAGCAAGTGCACCAGTGTCAAGGATATCTCTTCAACTCCGACCCACCTAACTGCTCCCAAATGGCCTGAGCTGCACCCCCAGAGTGAAGATCACCCTGTTTCAGCTGACTGGGGCTCTCCACCTTGTGACCAGTTCCAGGACATTGCAAGGAGGGCGGGGCTCATCTCATCTCTTCCACTTGCAGGAACTGAGGTGGGGTAAGGAAGAGAAGCTGCCTGCCCATCCGGCTGCTGTGCCCCCGACTGTCCCACCCTTCCATCCGCCTGACTCTTACCTGCACCTCCTGCCCAGCCGCTAAGCCCTTCCCTGCACTGCCTGCCCGGCCGCTGCCCCTCACCTGCATGCGACTGCATGTGCTCCAGCAGGTTGTTGTAGAACTGGAACTGTATCCCACAGGCGCCGCAGGTGTAGGGCTCTGGGGAAACGAGGCAGCAGGTGAGGCATGGCACAAGTCCCAAGGTCTTTCTGCCAGGCTGCAGGCAGGTTTGGGAAGCAGGAACCCAAATGCACCTGGGTCTCTGTACTTGGGGCTCTGGGCCCAGCCTGTCTGCTCCCCTGCCACTAAACCAGCGAGGGAGAGGCTAGGGGAGGAAGGAGATATGGAGAGAGGAAGACATGCAGACAGAAGCCGGTCAACTCCATGGAGCAGTTCGTTATTGAGTGCTTACTGAGTGCCAGGCGCTGGGGAGGGTCTTGGGAGGATGGTTTCCACGGATCAGGAGCTCTCTTAGGGCACAGACTACAGCCCCTTGGTTTCAAAGGGACCAGCAGAGGTGGCCTTTGAATGGCTGAATGAAGGAATGAATGAATGGACAAAACACAAGGTGACAAACACACAGGAAGTAAAGGGAGTGAAAAGGAAGAAAGAGAAAAGAGAAGAGGTGGAGAAAGCCATAGTGAAGCAGGAAGAGAGGACGGTAAGACGGGCGAGTGAAGGAGGGCAGGAGGTGGACAGAGGCATGGAGGGAGGGTGGAACAAGGCTGCACTGCCAGATCTGCGTCCCCAACACTCTCATTAGTGCCTGGAGGGCAAGAGAAAGGAGAAGGGGAAGGAAGAAGAAAAGAGGGATGGAAAGAAGACTGCGGGAAGGAGAGGAAGGAGGACAGCTGAGATGGAATCGGAGAGGCGTCCTGAGGCTGTCCTGATGACTGGAGTCGGGAGACCTGTGCTCCCGCAGGGGCTAGGGTGGTGACAGGTGCAGCCCTACCCCTATCCACACTCTTCCACCCACCTGGGTCCTGGCCTGCTGCAGCTGCCCCAGCTGCCTGGTCTGCACACCCTGGCCGGGGCCCTGGGGAGGCCAGCTGAGTCTACTCCCTGCCCTGCCTTGCCCTCTCCAGCCCCCCACGGGACCGCCACTTACTCTGCAGGAGAGGGAAGGGATTGGAAATCAGGGGACTTGCAGTTTCTGCAAAAGAGAAACAGTTTAGCTAAGTCTCTTCCAGTTCTGCTGTTCTGTGATTCTCATGATTTCTCTTCTTAACCAGTGAGGCAGCTGGGGCTCGCGGCAGAGCAGGGAGCACCTGCCAGCCCCACTCACAGTCTGGAGGGGTAGGAAAGCTTGCGGGAGGCTGGCATGGAGGTCACATCCTTCAGAGAATGCAGGCTTCCCGTGGGTGCTGGGACCCCTGGGCAGGGCAAGATCAGGCAGGGCCATTCCTCTGGACGCCCTCAATGACACTGAAGCCATAGGAGTCCCACAGACAGAATGTCCATGTGTCCCACTCACTTTGGGACAGGCACTGCTTCCAGGTGGGAACGTTTGGTGCTAATCACCAGAGCAGCCCCAGGGGGCTGCTGAGCTTCTCAAGGCTGCTGCTGGCTCACACCCCATGCTCCACCTCTGCCTGGCATTGTCAGTGTCATGCAGGCAGCAAAGTGGGGCCACACAGAGTAGCTGGGAAGTCCAGCCTTCACCACATTCACTATTTACAATCTGGGGGACTTGGGGGTACAACTGACCTCTCCTGAGCCTCAGTTTCCTCATCCGAAAAGTGGGGATAACAGTAACACTGCCCTCAACACAGTCGTGGGAAGCATGAAAACAGGTAAGACACATAGAGCTCTGAACACACACCAGGCACATAGTAAGCGCTCAATAAACGACGGCTGCCTGAAGCAGCAGCACCTGACAGGGTCACTCCTGACTATGCATGTCAGCTCTGGTGGTAGGAGAGGCACAGGGGTTACGGCACAGATTGGCTGGGAGCCCAGGGCACATCAGGACGCCTCAGTTCCAGTGTCCCCACTGCTACTTATTCCCGAATAGCCTCAGGTAATCACTCCACCTTAGGTCCACCCTTTGGAGGAGTTGGGGGAATTACACTGCTTAAAAGCCTCACCCCTTCCCCGGGGTACTCAACATCACTGAGTTTACAAAAAAACCCTAAACATTTAAAACCCCCGAACCTCCACCATTCAAGGCCCCTAACACCTGAGTGTGTAATCCGTGTGCTCATAACCACCTGTGGATTGAAGGACCAGAGGCGAAATTATGAGACTAACTCACCAGCTGTTGTGTGGTACAGCTGGGTTCAAACCTGGGCTTTTTTTTTTTTTTTTTTTAGTTTTTTTCTCCGGTACCAGGAACCGAACTCACAACCTTGCGCTTGCCAGGCAGGCGCTTTTGCCGCTGAGCTAAATCCCCAGCCCAAAACCTGGGCTTTGATGAAGTCAGGGCTGCTATTAGCAGGCAGAAACGGCCTCTAGAAGTCTGTGCTCCTGAAGAGCTCCTGAAGTCCCCGACGAGTGAGCCACGTTCACTACCTGTCTACACCCAGGCAGCACCCAGCTCCGTGGCTGGCACAGATCGGCACGTAACATTTGCAGAGTTCAATCCTACATGAGGGTGAGTGCACGCCTTATTTAATGCAACCACAGTGGCAGAATGCCTGTCCCCTCCGGCCCCTGGCTGTCACTATGCAGACCGGCTTGCTGGCCTTTCTCAGACACGGAGCTGCCAGGTTGAGCCAGGGTTCTGCATGAGGCAGCCATCAGGGGGCGCCAAACACCACCAGGAAACCTCAGGCAAAGTGATTTGAGTTGCAGGGACTGGAAGGAAATCTTTGTTCCAAAGGTCCCAGGCCCAAATTGGGGCCAGAACTTGGGACATCCGGGTCTGAGGTCTCCCTACCGCACCCCCTTTGCCTCTCCTGGGAAGAAATCAGCTGGGATGTTAAAATATAGCAATGGCTCTATCCGGCCAAACATCCAGGGCAGAGCTGAGCAGACGCTGTGGGTTTGGGGAAGGAGTTCCTCTCTCCATGGGGAAGATAAAGAGGAGCCACAGAGGGCATCCCGGGGTGAAAAGGCCCTCTGCGCTTCTGCCCGGCCCTGCTCTCCCTCTGCCTCCATACCCAGCCTCCACCCAACAAGACCCACCAGGTATAGGAGGTATAGGCAGCCCCAGCCCAGGGGCTGCCCGCCAATGCCACAGAAGGGGCAGCAGCCGCTATCGCAGACACACTCACCGCTGGAGTTCTGTGAACTGCTGTTGGTTTCTTCAAAGTGGTTTTGTGCTTTGCCTTCCACTCTCCGACTGAAAGCGCTTTCTGCTGGGTGGGGAACAGGACAGAGACAGAAAACCGTGCGGAGTGGTCAGTATGTGTTCTTGGGGAGGGGCCCTTGAGGCTGGGTGGATGCTGGGGGCTCTGCTGGGGAGGCAGCACAAGGAGGGGGGCCAGGACTTCAGGAAGGACCTCACAAGTACCTCGGGCACATATGAAGTGCTGGTACCTTGCCCATGCCCCAAGAGACCCTGCTGGTGGGGCCAGGAGGCCCAGGTATGGGGGTGACCTCTTCAAAGCCCCAGTGATGCAATCCAGCCAATATAGCAGACAGCAAAATGGGTGTCCCATCTTCAGCTCCTGGACACACATGAGAGACAAGTCATGTGACAAGGCCATCCTCTGCTCTTCTATTCCGCTCTCACAGCCCCACAAAGGGGCGGGGGGGCTGCAGCCTGTTCCTAGTGGCAGCTCTGACAGACCGAGGGGCAGGCAGCGACTGCAGCTCCATCAGGAGGGTGAAGCCTGGGTGGCAGGGAGGGCATCCTGGGATAAAAGGCACATGGAGGAGATCGCGGGCAGCCCTGCACCCCAGAAAGACCAGAGACTAGGGGAGGCAGTCTGGGCTCACTTGGGGAAAGGCAAAAGGACTGGCGCCCCCAGGTCTCTGCACCTCTGCTCGCTGGCTGGCACAGTCCTCTTGCTGGAAACCCCATGATGCACTGACAGCCCAGCCAAGCAGAAAGCCACAAATTTAGCTGCCCACCATCCCACAACCAGCAGAAAGTACTGAACAGAAAATCCAAGTTGGGAGGTAAGCTAGCTCTTCCAGGGTGCTCTTGGTACCACAGAGACGCCAGATGATCCAGGAGATGAGGACCCTGGGGATGTGCAGCTGACACACTCCCTTCCTTCCTTAAGAAGAAATGATTTGCACAAGATTATCATGGCTTGGAGAAGTTCCACCGGCAGAAGACTCATTTCACTTTATTTAATCCAACCTTCCCCAAACACATCAGAAGTCCCAGCAGAGCCCCATTTGAAAGACTGATTTTGTATTATTCCACAAAACGGGGATCTTGGGAACCCACTTTGGGCAATGCTGCTCTCAGCCTGTCCACCCTACTGAGAAAGGTAAGTGCTGACTGCAATTTCTGGGGCTCTGATAATCATAGGGATGATGGGAAAGGAAGCCAGCAGCGGCTGCTATGGGCCTGCTCATTCCCCTCGGCCATCCCAGTCCACAGGGCCTCCCACGGAGCGTCCTTCCTGGGAAGGCTGCTGCTGACATTGAGCTCAACACTGCCTTCAAGTCTAACTTAGGATGCCTGGGCTGAGTGCTGTAAGACAACATGTACAGGTGAGCCAAGATGGCCCTTGGTAGGGAGAGGTCTCACGCCTGGGCACCTGTTATGTGCCAGGCACTGGTTCAAACACTGAACAGCCATGGGCTCCCTTAGTCCTCCCAAAAGCCCCAAGGCTAAACTCTTATTCTCATTTTCCATGTGAAAAAGCAGGACAGAGTGAGGTTGCCAAGTTCTCAGGTATACTCCAGCACTGTAAGATGGCAGCGTGAGATTCACTCCGGGGGCACATGCTCTGCGGAAGGAAGGGATTCCCTTCACCTTAAATTCTCATGTCTGCAGGGCAATGGGTACCTCCTTAGGCAAGAGTTTTGCTCCTACCAACATCTAGGTAGAATTTGGCACCACCAAATTGCTAGCTCTTACCAGGAGTCTCCTCCTGCTTAGCTGGTGATGTAAATTCCTTGCCGCAAAGGTGTGGGGCCCTGCAGGTGAAGCCTTGCACGCAGGCACGCTCACAGGCACAGAGGAAGAGCCACGTACTTCAGGATGATGGGGCCCATGACAACTTCTACCTCCAGCATGCACTGTTTCCCAGCCCCTGCCAGTTCCTGCTGCCAACCTGGTGCCCTCTGGCCTGCCCAGCTAGTAAATCCAGATGTAATCCCCACCACCAGTCTTCCAAGTCCCATCAACGCAGTCCCACAGCTTGTTAGAGGCTCTGTCGGAGACACCGAGGGCCATGAACTGCCCTGAGGGCCTCAGGGCCAGGATGATGAACTTGACTCCACAAAGCTCAAGAGTTGGAGCAAGATCTGTACGCCGTGACTCTGGTGAGACAATGTCAACCACCCCGAGACCGTGATGACCAGTCTGCTTCTTGCTAACTTGTGACTACCATTGCAAAACTGCAACTGTCATGCCATTGTCTTCCAGGCTGGCTGACTCTTCTCCTTTTGAGAGACCTAAGCGCAACAAACTATGCCTTTGCCTCCAATTAACCTCCTCAACCAAGGTCAAGAAAAGCATAGCTCATCACCCTGCCAGGTCATCAAATGAGCTCATTCACTTGAGGTCACCACTTGATCACTTGCATGTGTCATGGATGGTTCTCTGACGGTGCCCGGAAGTGCCAAGGGTGTCACATCACTCCATGCTATATCCCACAAATCCAGGCAATGGTCCAATGCTTGCTCCGTGCAAATGTGAATCCAAGGAATCCTGACAACTGGTACTCAGCACGCAACGGCCATCATCAGTGTTCCTGGAGGAAATGACCACTGGGGACTTTTTATTGCCTGTTCACCCTTCTGGAACCAGAGCCCTTTTCTCTGTGGACTCAGAAGATACAGAAGCTGGCATTCCCTTCCACCTGGGGCTCTCTCTCCTGCAGTCATTCCACACGGAGTGCTAGATGGGGGAGGCCAAGAGCTCAGAGCACCAGGCCCACCACTGCTTCATAGAGAGTGGCTTTGTGTTGAAATGAGTGAGTGTTCAGATTGGTTTTCTTAAAGGCAGAGGGTGCAGACTCATGCTAACGGGGTCCAGGCAGGCGACACAAATGGACGGACTGGGCTGGATGTACACAGACAACAGTGCGATCACAATGAGAAATGACACCTGCCATGGGCCCACTGTGGTGCAGAGGCAGTAGGGAGTGGTGGGGACTAGGGGAAACCAGACAGCACATGCCCTGTTAAAGGAGGCAGCCAATTGTTGCCCTGCAGGAACGTGGGCCCAGGAGCCAGATCTGACTTTCCAGTGTCAGCTAGAAATAAAAGGTTTTACATAAAATCTTCCAGTGTTCAAGGGCTGGCAGTTAGTTTGAGAAGTTTTTAGGCCTTGTAAAGGCCAAATAAAATAAGCCCAAGGGCATGATTTTGGGGAAAAATATTCTATTATTTTGCAGACCTTCTTTTACCACCCTCTGGTTTGGGGCAAGAGAACCTGGCTCATGGTCTCAGAGCTGGCCAGAGGTAGAGCTGGGTTCCAGATTTGTCCCAGAGCATGATGGGACCTCCACTCTTGCTCTTGCAGGGAACAAAGACTGGGCACAGTGGTGGCAGGTGCAGAGAAGGTGAGGGGTGGAGGAAGTGTGGGGTAATGCCGGCCATCGGTACCTGCGGTCGCCTTGCTCGCTGGAGATCCCGAATTTGGAGTGCGGAACGTCTGGGTTTGGGTGGCTGGAGGGGTGCGGTGCAAGAGCGTGGCGCATCGGACCACCGAGGCAGGAGCTTTTTTCCCCGACTGGTTCGTCTGGGTCTTCGCTGCCACGAAGCGTGGAGACGGGGTGACCTCTGGATGTGAGCACTCAGAGCCCGTGTCTGGATCGTCCGGTGGCTCCCACCCGGGGGCAGTACCTGAGAGGGTCACGCTCTCAGTCCCCAGGGACCCTCGAGGCCGCAGCGTAAGTGGCCTCTCAGACCACAGGTCCCTGAGCCTGGAGTTGGGACTTCTCCACCCAGCCTCTTTTTCCACAGAGAGCAAAGACTGGGAGTCTAGAACCTTCTCTAGCTCTTCCTCCACCGGTGTGAGCCGGACCACCAGCTCACACTCAGTTACCTGGAGGTCACTGACCAGCCCACTCTGTGAGTCACCTGTCACCCCGACCAGCCCAGTCTCTCGGTGTCTAAGACCTTGGCACGTGACCCACATCGAGGATGCCATTTTCTAGAATGTTGGCTTCCAGCCCTTTTGCTCCACAGGAAAGCTGGCTCAGAAGGAATGACAGAAAGGACACAGGCAGGGGTTGTGATGGGGTTGCCGGGGGGAAATGGAGGGGCCTGATGTCACACCTGTGATTGTAGAGAAAGGGGCTCTGTGGAACCCCCCCACTCACTCAGTGGACAGTGGCTGACAGGGTAGCTGAAATAAGTGGAGTCCCTTGGTACTCAGAGAAGCTCGTGTCACATGACCAAGGTGATTCTCCCTCAGCTGATTTTTCTGCAGAAGAATTCTGCAGTCACTGACTTGGTCGCCTGACTTGGCTTCCACCTCTGCCCATCTGGGCAGGCAACAGTGGCCTGAGCCCTCACCAGTGGGTTACACTCCTAAACTTGGCCTCTTCCACGTTAGATGGGAGAGGAAGGGCAGGAAAGGACCAGGCAGAGTGGAGAAGGGACTCCCTGGGTGTTGCTCACCAGGACAATCTACAACACACAGGAATTAGGAACTTCCCACGGGCACCATCTGTACACAGGGCCTGGCCACAGCAATGAGCTGTCCAGAAAAGGTCCTGGCTCCAGCTTCCTGCCTCTGGGGTGGTGATGAGATCTCCCAGGACAGCTCCCGTCCTGGATAGCACAGACACCATCTACTGCTCAGAGGCCCCGGGGAGAGAGGACCCCTAACCCTCCACCTCTCACCATGCCTGGCACTGAGGGGGAAGCACTGGCCCAAAGAAGCAGGATATTGGGCTTTGTCTGAGTCACACAGGCAGTGAGTGGCAGAAACAGGAAGCCATCAGGGTCCTGGGTCCGCAGTGCTGCGCACTGAGGGATGCACGGAGCATACCTCCACCTACTACAGGAGTAGCTAGAGGCAGCAGTGGGCAGTTCTATGGCCACAGCTCCCTTAAACAAGCCCGGCCCAGCCCAGAAGGAAACCCCAGGCTCAGTCTAGGGAGCACAGTGTCCCTCGCCACCCAAGTCCCTGCGCTCTGGACTCTCGCCTTCTGACCCAGGCCCTGGAGAGGTCTGGGTGGTGAAGGTACCTCCATTCTCCTTTCCCTCTCTCCGAGCCGAGGACCTCAGTGACCCCTAGGTCCATTCACAAGGATGGGTCCTCTAGCATTATCCCATTTCTTTTTAATCACAAAATGAATCCGAACATTCAGCACTCTGCTGGCGTCCAGAGTCCAGCTCTGATTTCTCCACTGTCTCTTTGTGTGAGGGACCAGGTTAGGGACCACGGCTGGAGGCTCACTCTCACAGAACCCTAACTGAAGCTGGAGTGAAGCCAGCCTCCCTCTGAAGTCCAGCTCCGACTTCCGGTCTTGCGCAGAGTACTTCCTCTCCTGGCCTCAGTTTCCCCAGTCTCACCCCACTGGTGAGAGTGGGCAGGCCCTGGCCGAGCAGGCAGCCCCACAGGGACTCTGTGAGATGCCCAGAAAGCCACAGGGACACCTGAGCGGAAACTGCTCCTCACGTGTAGGCAGCTGCTGCTCCTATTGCTTCGGAGATAAGGAAACCAAGTCCCAGACAGGTTAACAGGTTTCTTATGGGCACACAGGAAGCCAGTGCTGGGAGGAGACAGGGGCTCCAGTCTGCCAGCCAGCCAAGGGAGCCTTCGCCCTGGCCCCACCCATTCCAGGGATCTGGGCACAAGGACAGAGCACTCCTAACTGGCACTGTCCCTGAGGCCTGTCCCCACACCCACAGAACAATTTCTAGAGTACTCTCAGGATTGGACCTTTCCACTGTCAATTCCTGCTGTAAAAATCCTAGAATTCCTGGAGAGGGAGTCCCTTCTTTCCTTGTGGCAGGGATCTAGAGACACCCATGAAGCACTTGATATAAAAACCTGGGGGCACCACCGCTTTGCTTTAGTCACCTTACCGGGACTTGCCAGACTCTCCCACTTCCTCTCAGGCCTCTCCCATCTTTGCCTTCTCACCTGCAACACCTGCTCTCTTTCTAGCTCAGGGCCTTTGCACATTCTGCTCCCTCTGCCTGCAACATTCTTCCTTCAAACTCCCGACTGCCACCCCCGTATACTACACTTAGCACTTCCTTAGGGATCGCTCCCCAGTGCCAACTCCCCAACTGATCATCTGTTGGTCCCCTCTTCTCCTCCCTTCTCAGAGCTGATCACCTCCCCCACCAGTGACACATAGTGTGACCTTTTATCCATCTCTCTTTCCCAAATCACTTGTTTGGCGCCCTGTGCTCTGACTACCTGGCCTACCCTGAGCACTGTCTGTGGAGAAACGGCGGAGTTCGTCAATCAATGCATGAGTGGCCAGAAGAGTAAAACTCAGAATGCTGAAGAGCACGTCAAAGACGGGGGATGGGCTGGCTGCCCAAAGTGAGGTGTAGCTGTGCCATGAAGCTGTCTGACGCAGTACCCTCCTCTAGGCCCCCAGGGAGTAAGGCAGATAGGACCAGGCTCAGAGAGGTCTGGGCACCTCCTCAGGGTCACGCAGTGCACCTGGGCAGAGCGCTGCGTAACCATGGGGCTTAGTGAGATGAACTCAGGCTGCCTGGGCTGAGTGAGATGAACTCAGGCTCCCAACAACTCAAGTCCCTCAATAGTCTGCTTGTCCCAGTGGAACTGCTACCTAATCTCATACCAAGAGAGAAAGACTCCCAGGCAGCCTGGCTGTCTTCATGAGAAACACACAGGAGCTATTTACATTCAGGTATCTAGCAAATTAACAGCACTGTGTCTCTTCTTTCTGCAAAAAAAGAAAAAATCCGGGGAATGTAAGGATTTGAGAAATGTAACCAACTAACTGAGAGATGGAGGGCCTGGGGGGACTCTGAAATTCCCGAGGTGGAGGAAGGTGAATTCCAGGCCAATGGAATCAAGTGCTTAAAGGCTGGAGATGGGAAGGAATGGTAGATGTGGTGGAGGAGGCAACCAGGGAAGCCTTGCTTGAGGTTTCATTGTGAAATGAATGCGGAAGAATGTTCCCTTCTGGCCAAGACAGAGTAATTGGTAGAACCCCAGACCTCCTGCCACATGCAGCTTACAGCTGGGAAGAGACAACAGTTTCTAGGCCTTGGTCAATAGACGGTGCCAAACTGCAAGTCCTGAGAGAAGATATGAGCCCCATGGTCACGCAGCGCTCTGCCCAGATCGACCTCTAGGTCAGGTACAGCGGTGGCACCAGACAAAGAAAGTTGCCTCACCGAAGAGAGGAGACAGTGACCAGAGGTCAGGGCTTATGAGGTGGTTGGAATCTGCAGGGCAGAATAACAGAGAGAAAAGAACTGAGCAAAGAAAAGAACTCCAGAAATGTACAGCAAGGCCCCCTTGATGCCTCTGGCTGAGAGTTAAGTTGCATTAAGCATCGGCAAAGCTGAACAGGAAATGGCTAACAGAGGGAAGATTCAGAAGTTGCACAAGAGTAGAGATAGTCCAAGTTCACACCTGCCCAAGAGGAGAAACACTGCTGAAAACATCACACATTCAGCGGAAACCCAGGAAGAACAGATCTGAGAAGAGCTAATATAATCCTAGAATAAGAACTATTCTGGCCCTGCCCTAACACAGCTTAAAAGAGGTTTTTGGAGTATCAAGCTGATCTGCAAGTAAGTTTACTGCCTGCCAGAATAAAGGCAACACTTTGCAAAGAAAGAAAACAAAATCCAGTCAACATAGCATCCTGTGCAGCACAGATGAGCAATTATTTTTCACACGAGGCAGGACAGTGATTAATGATCAAGGGAAAAATACAGAAATGACAGGGTTGATGGAATCAGGAGACAGTATGCTCAGAGATTTGAAGGAGGACAGGAATGTGATGAAGAGAAAAAAAATGAAAGGTATGAAAAAAGTAGCCAAACAGAATTTATAGGAGTAAGTGTTATAGAAGAAAAGGTCAGTGAATTTGAAGTCAAGGCAATAGGATGGATCCAAACTGAAGCACAGAGGAAAGCAAGGCTGAAAAATGAACAGTTTCACTTGACCTGGAAACATTATCAAACACCTAACACACATACAATGAAAGCCTCAAAAGGGGACGAAAGAGAAATTAGGGAAGAAAAACATCTGAAGACATAGAGGCTAAAAATTTCCTAAATCTGATGAAAAATATAAAACCAGTGATCAAAGGAGCTCAGTGAACCTTAGAAACCATAAACATACCACAACCACATTGCTAAACACCAATATAATATGGAAATATTTAAAAGCAAGCAGACAAACAGACGTCAAATATAGAAGCAAAACAATCAGAATAACCCCTTCATTTCATCAGAAGCAACATAACATACAAGATAAAGGAATGATTTTTTTTTAAATGCTGAGAGAAAATGTTCTTAACCTAGAATGCCATATCCAGAAAAAAATCCTTCAAAAGAGAAGGTAAAACAAAACATTTTTCATTTCTGAGGTCTTTCATCAGTGGACCTACAATGTAAGAAATGCTCAAGAAAATTCCTGAACAGCATAGCGAATTTATTAATAGATGGAATTCAGATTTACATAAAGAAAACCAAAGCACAGAAAACAGTAAATGTGTAGGTAAACAGAAAAGGCAATTTCTAATTTCTCAAACACTTTAATCAAATAATTGACTATTTAAAGCTAAAATAGTGATTGTTAGGTATGTAACATATGTAGTTGTACCCATTAATAGCATAAAATATAGGAGGGTAGCAACTGGAAGTATTCTGTTGTAAGGCTCTTATATGAATGTGATGTGTTACAACATAAATTCATAGTAGACTATAATACATTAAAAATGTAGATAAACCATGGAGTGAAAAAAAGTTAACAGCAAAAAGTTAACAGGAAATTAAAAAATACTTGCATAATACTAAAGATGGCAAGAAAATAAGAGGAAAACTAAAATTAAGAACAAATGAGACAGAAAAAACACAAGATGGTAAACTGAAATCTAATAATAAAGTACGTTAAATGTAAATGGATTAAATTTGTTAATTAAAAGGCAAAGATTTTCAGAAGCAAGAACCAACTGCATGTAGACACTTCACATGTAAAACTACAAACTAAAAGAAAAGCATGAAAGGAGATATACCATGTGAACACCAATCCTAAGAAAGCTGTAATGGCTGTAGTATGAGTCAGGAAAGATTTTAGGAAGACAGATATTGCCAATGATAAAAGGTACTGTACAACTTTAAAAAGGGTTAGTTTTGTCAAGACATAATGATCTTACGTGTATGCATCTAAAGGTAATTTCAAACAAAATTAGTCAAAAAATGGCAGACCTAAAGGGGGAAACAGTGAAATCCACAATTATAGTTGAGGATTTTGACACTTCTCTCAGTACCTGATAAGACAATCACATTTGTTTTTGAAAAGTCGAGGAAGGGCACAGAGATCTGAACATTATTAACTGATTTCATCTGACACTAGAAGGTTAAGCTTTTTTTTTTTTTTTTTCAAGTGGACATGGAACACACAAGCAAGGGGGACAAAATGACAGGTCATAAAGCACATCTCAGTAAATTTCAAAGATTACAAGTCATGCAGCATATGTACTCTGACCACAATGGAATTAAATTAGAAATCAACTTTAAAAAGCTGAATAAATTCCCAAATATTTGCAAGTGGAATACAGTGTCTAATGCCTTCTTACAAAGAAAATCCCAGCCTTTATGGCTTCACTGTTGACTTCAACAGAACATTTATGGGAAGTATTACCAGTTCTATACAAGTTCTTCAGAAAACTGAAGAAGAAAATACACTTTCCAACATGATCAACTGAATTTCTTCACAATGAAAAGCATGTGCTCATCAGGAGGTACTGTATGGAAATCAATAGGCATGTCAGAGATTGGGATAAAATATCCACAGTACATACACCTGACAAAGGACCAGGACCTTCTGGAAAGTAGAAAGAACTTCTATAATTTAATAAGAAGATAATTCACCAAAAATGGGCAAGTGACTCAAAGGAACAATTTCCAAAACAAAATACACAATGGACAACAAGCAAACAGTGATGTCCAACATCATTAGTCATGAACAAAACAAAACCACAATGAGATATAACCACACGCTAGAATAGCTAGAATTAAACAAGCCAGTGTCACCAGACCCTAGTAAGGCCATGGATCAAGTGGAACTCTCAGACAGGGCTGGGAGGAATGGAAGACGCCATGGCCATTTTGGAAAATGGTGTGTCAGTTCTTTAAAAGTTAATAACCCAATAATTCTACTCTATACATATGTCTACAAAAAGCTTTTTGCAACTATTTTCATAGTAGCTTTATTTACAATAGCCTATAACTGGAAACAACTCAAAGGAGCAGGTAAAGGACAAAACAAAGTACAGTATACAGTTTGTATGCAATGTACACGACTGTATACAATTCATACAATGGAATACTGCTCAGAAATAAACATGAATTTGCATGACAGAAACAAGCAGGTACAAGAGTACACATTAGGAGTCCATTTATAAGAAGTTCTGCAGTTAGCCTGGGTCTTTCTGAATCTAGCCTAAGGCTTCCACGCTGTGTTTGACACACAGACACTTCTAAAGTTTCTAGACTTCAGTAACAGAGAGATTCATTCAACAAAGCAGATGCAGAAAAACGGAGAGCACAGCAGAAAGATAAAGACAACAAGGAACAGAGAATGAGAAGTAGACAGCCTTCCAGGAGAGAAGCACCGGGATATCAAGGAAGAAAGTAGGGTGCAGTTGACACCCCTTTCTACTGTGCCATCATGGCAGGTACAGAACAGCTTCATAGCAGAGCATGGACCTGGACCCTACCAGGAGGGCTTAAAGCCACATTTTGTCTCATCAACTCATGACTTACTTCTCTTACTCCAGGAAGTACAAAAGCAGCACTGAAGATCCTCTGCAAAGGTTGAGCTCAAGGCTGCAGGCTGGCTTTGTAAGCAATGCTAGAAATGCATGCTGGGTAGCATCCTCACACTAGGCAACAGGCAGGTGCTTCTTCATTGGAGTGCACTGGTGCACAGCTGCCCATGAACAGCGCTGATGCCCAGGCACCTTCACCATGAGTGGATCAAATGGATGGATCGATGCCCACCTAGCACAACCTCTGTATTTTCTCTTCTCACACACACTTGATTGTAGCGTGTGCCTGCCTGAAGGTTGCTTTAGTCCAAAGATATCTGGAATCCAGACCCTGGGTTGGAAAGATCTTAACCTCTCAGACAGGAAATACGGGCTCAGAGAAGGGAAGCCGTATGTATCAAGTCACATAGTAGTCAAAGGCCAAATCAGAATGAGAATTCTAGCCCAGGGCTGGACCTCAGGAGGATTTAGGTCCATACAAGGTCACTGGTACTCACAGTCCGGGAGGCTGCTGTCTCTGGACCTAATCTCCCTAACCACAGAAATAAGGAAGGATCCCCACAGCTCTTCGGTGAGAAATCTAAGCAATGAAGTCCCCAAACACACCCCTAAGCACCCTGTCTTATTACCCTGAGACGCTGTCAGCACAAAGGATCCTCCACCTGTACATGCAGGGGTGCAGGACTGAGGGCCCTCCCAGATCAGATGTTTAGGGATCTAAGGATAGAGCCCATTTGACCTGCAGAAGAGGAGTTGCGAAATCAGCACAGAGGCCCATAGCCATCAAAATGGAAGGCCAGGGTTCCCTGGGGAAAGAGGCCTTGGAGTCTTTCTTGTCCTTGCCAGGGGAGGCGTCACAGACTGTGGGCTGGAGACAGGACGGGGCCGCCAAGGTTCACCAGCAGCTGGGAGTCTGCGAGGCTTCATATCCAGGCCTCCAGATTCCCAGCCTGCCACGCCTGCTACCTCCCTGCTTTGTACTGTGGAGGGCAAACAGGGAGCCGTCTTGTTTTGCCAACATGCCCCTGGCCAGGGTCAGTCCCTGCGTTAACTCAGACTGAAGCTGCATCACCAAGCTTGGCTCTGGGAGTGGGGTTAGGAGGCTCCTGGTCTGGAGGTGTTCAGAGGGGCTGGAGACAAAGCCGCTGTGTGACCTGGACGAGTGATGTCCACTCTCCTAACGCACCAGGCCTCCGAGTCCATCACAGCAGGGCTCTGACCTTGCTGGTTTGCGGGGGCCTTCCAGGCACTGCAGTGAGGGGGCCCAGGTCACAGCAGACACCTGGACTGACCGGGACTGAGCTCACCTTTCTTTCCTCCCTGGCCAAAGGCTGGTCTCTTCCCCGACCCAAATGACACCCCATCTCCCCCCAGAAAAGGTACTCACTGATGGGGGCGTGTAAGGCCACATGCTCCTGGTAGGGCGTGTAGTACTTGTACTGCTTCCCACAGAATTCACAGGTGTAGTTGCCAGTTTCTGTCCAAGGAGGAGGAAGGTGTGAGAACGGGCACATGGCCCTGACCCAAAAGCATCAGCTCCACCCCCCAAACTCCTCCTTCCACCAATCAGAAGCAAGTCTGACTCAAACTCCAGCTCTGCAACCTGGTGCAAGTCTCTTAACCTCTCTCTGTGCCTCTATTTCCCTCTCTGGAAAACAGAGGTCATCTTGGGACCACCTTATAGGATTGCTGTGAGGATTAAATGTGTGAGTCAAGTGCTTAGAACAGAACCTAGCACACATTGCTCTCCTCCGTCTCTCCACCCTCGATCCTGGTGCTCAGGAACTGTGTGGTGACCCGAGGTGACTTTCCACACCAACATCTCCATCAGCCTCTCTGCAAGCCCTGTCCTCTGTGGCCACACCCAGACCCCTGTCTCAGGGACCTTCCCTGGCTCTGGAGCATCTCTCAACCTTCAGCAGCAGGGGGTCACTTCCTCTTGCAGACTACACTAGACTTTATCTTTACCTCTTGCATACTACACTGGACTTTATCTTTACCTCTCAAAGGCTCTGCCTAGCTTCTTTCTTCTTAAAATGACTGATGTCTTTATCAAATACTGATAAATGCAGGCACACATTTTTAAAACTAGGGAGCAATTGCAATCACCTACACCCCAAACAAAGTGCACTGTCTACCCTGTGGGGGGCAGCGTGCACCCACCTGCCATCTGCCCCAGTCTTCGGCTTCACCCTGTCTCAGCTGGGGGTGCTCCTCTGGCTGATATCATTTGTCTGGCTCCTGTGGCCTTGAATTAGTCGGCCCTGATCAATATTCTCTTTGTAACCTGGTATATTCAATCGACAATACTTTGTGGACATCTTGCCCAATCAATAAGTATTGATCTCCCTGGCCTTTATTGGCCGCGTGGTTCCCATGGGACTCTGCAATTTGCTGAGCTAGTCCCCTCTGCCAGGGGACATTGAGATTATTTCAAAATTTTTTTTCCTTCTTAAAAAATACCGTGGCCCACATCCTTGTGGAAATTTTTGCACATTTGCCCATTAGTTTTGCACGTGATTGCAAAATACAGATTACTGAGCAGACTCTTTGCACATTTCCTTAGGATCAATTCCAAGAGGCGGGGGAAAGTAAGCACTTCTAAGCCTTTTGATAACCACAGCATCACTGTTTCAAGCAGAAAGGTGTGAAAACGTCTGTCTCCATACACAGCAGCCAACATTAAGTAGTATTACATCCCTTCGCATACTTGATGGGAGGAACTGTACCACATTGCTGAATTTTTCTATTTCTTTGATTTCTGAGGAAATTATTTTCCCTGTTTAATTAATTACCTTATCTTTTGTAATTTTCCTTTAAAAAACACTAAATTTGTTGTAGATGAAGGATATCAACATTTTGTTATACATGTTGTTAAGTATTTTCTCCTTAATTTCTTAGTCTTTTTTTTTGTTTGTTTTTTGAGACAGGGTCTTACTATGCAGTTCAGGCTGGCCTTGAGCTCACTTTGTAGCCCAGGCTGGCCTTGAACTCACAATGATCTTCCTGCCTCAGCCTCCTGAGTGCTGGGATTACAGGCGTGCGCCACCACGCCCGGCTTCTTAGCCTTTTTTATGGTTTTTCCTCTCCCAGTATAGGAGCTTCAGATTTTTTGGTAGGTAAATAATTTCTGTAGTTGACTCATGAACACTGGAAAAGGTACATGTTATCTGCTATATATAGGCTTCAAAATTGTTCAATCAACAGTACTAACTATACTATTCAAATCCTGTATCTTTGTGTATTGCTCTGGCAAAGATTAAATGTTGTGATATGTCCTTCTACTTGGTAGTATGTCTACATTTACTTTGTATATTTAGATACAACGTTGTTCGATGCACCAGCACTCATGAGATCAAAATCTTCATGAACTCTGAACAGGAAACTATTTTCTAACACAGTGCTTCTCAAAGTGAAGCCCCTGGACCAGCAGCCTCAGCTGTCGTGGGAATCTCAGAGAAATGCAAATTCTCTGGACTTGCCCAAGACCTGCAGAAAGAGAAATTCTAGGGGTGGGGCCCAGCAATTTGTTTTAACAAGAAAATTCTGATGTATGGGAAAATTTAAGAACGGGTGCTCTGATATTTAATTACAATGTCCTATTAGTCTGTCTGGCTTTAATATTAATATTTTGATAATTTGCCAGATCCTGCTTTCTATTTGTTTGCATGTACTTTTTTTTTTCTTTTTTTTTTTTTTTTGTTTTGGTTTTTCTCTGGTGCCGGGAACCGAACTCACGACCTTGCGCTTGCCAGGCAGGCGCTTTTGCCGCTGAGCTAAATCCCCAGCCCCTGTTTGCATGTACTTAAAGACACATTTCTACATCTTCTTGTACTTTCATTCATTGAACTAGATGCAAGTACTAGATGCAGGCAGAAAATGCTGAGCAAACCAACCATGGTTCTGCCTTTAAGGAGAGTTTGTAGTTTGGACAAGGAGGCAGAAAAATTGAATAATCATATAGAGAAATGTATTTATTTTTGTAATACAGGAGATTCAACCCAGAGCCTCTGCACTGAGCTACCTCCCCAGCCCCATTGATTCATTGATTCATTGATTCATTCATTCATTCATTCAAATTTTGAGACAGGGTCTTGCTAGATTGCTCAGGCTGGGCCTGAACTTTCAATCCTCCAGTCTCAGAGTGCCACCATGTCTATCTCAGACAAATCTGAAACTACAACAATGAAAGATTACAAATACAGCCGTAGGAGAACTCATGGCAGGGACTTTAATGTCTTTAAGGAAGCAGGAAAGAGTTCCCTGAGAAAAAGGAGCACAAGCCCAGTATAAAAGAAAAAGGATTCACTAGGTATGTCTCTAATAAACCACTATGAATTGAATTATTATTCTAAATTAACCTGACAAAATTTTATCTTCCAACAAAGATTATGCCATTTGTTTCTATCACTACAACTGATTTAGTTTCACAAGTTGAGCACCCCTAATCCAAAAATCTGAAATCCAAAATGTTCTCAACTAAAGCTCTCTGAACAATCACAAGGTGGTTCCACTCCATGGTAATTTGTCAGGTTATCTCATCTATCTGCAAATATTCCAAAATGTGAAAAAATCCAACATCCTAAATACTTCTGGTTCCAAGTATTTCAGGTAAAGCATGCTTAACCTGTAATTATTTTATAATTCTTTCTCTCCTCCCCGGCCCCTCCTCCTCGGATTGAATCCAGAGCCTCACACTTGTTAGGCAAGTGCTTCACCACTGCACTACATCCCCAGCCCTCCTGTTCTACTCTGTCTGGCTTGTGCCCCTAGTTTCCAGTTGTTTGGTATATGAACACTTCTGCTTTCCCACCACAGTACCTCTAATATTTCATTATTTTTCTCATACTGACTGGGGTTTTGTGGTTGGTTGTGTGCATGTGCATTCTGAGTCAGGGACTTGTTAGGTCAGACTGGAATTTAGGGCAGACTTAAACTCACTTCGTTTGCCAGGACAGCCTCAAACTCATGATCTTCTTCCTTCAGTTTCACCAGTGGGCTCAACTCCCTGCTATTTTACCTAGTATATATTTCTCTAGCTATTATTAGTCAAGTGGAAAAATGGTAATTTCAAGACTGTTATCATTGGGAAGGTAGTTTAACCCAGTGCTTCTCAAACTTTAGGATGTGCAAGGGTCATCCCTAAAGTCTAGATCACAGGGTTCCACCCAGAGATTCAGATCCCACAGGTTTGGGCTAGGGCCTAAGAATACACATTGCTAATTAGGAGATGCTGATCTTCTTAGTCTGGGACCACACTGTGAACAGCACTGGTTTAGCCTAATTCACTGTAAACTCACCCACTCCTTCCTTCTTATTTGTTTTCAAAAACTCACTTTTTCCTATTTTAGGATAATCTTAGTCTTAGGTACTAAATTTTATAATTAGATTTGCAATGTTTTAGCCTTTAGTTTATCTGTTTTAACAGTTGCAAGTCCTCTTAAAACAATGGGTTCCTCATAATCGGGCCCTTGAATGTGCTCTACCACTTAGTCCACTGGAGTATATATTCAAATAATTTTTGAAGATGAAGAGAAATAACATGTTTCTGGGCCCTTGCTTTTTTATTTATACACAAAACACATTTTATCCAGATATAAAATTCTTCGATTAAAACACTTCTCCTTCAAAATACATCTATTTTCTTTTAGCATTCAGAATTACAGAGAAGTCTGATGAAGTCCATCTTGCAGTCATCTGTAGAGAATTTATTTTACTTTAGTTTAAAAACAATCACTAAGATCTACTCAGGTAAAGATTTCTTTAAATTGACACTACCTGACACATGATGAGCATTTTAAATATATATATAAGCTCTCTGTCTGTTGAACAATTTTTTCTTCTATTAGATCTTTGAATACTGATTCAGTTCCATGGTTCTAAAACCACCTATTAACTGGAATTGGTTTCTTGCTGTATATTATATTCCTTATTGTTGTCCTTCACTTCACCAACTGCATTTCTTCAGACTGGTTCTGTTGTTTACAATCTACACTATATGTTTAAATTCTGTTCTTATATTTTCTGTTTCCCTGGAGTCCTTTCACATCTGTCCTTTCTTTGGTGTTTTGACTTCTCCTGTTGTTTTTTCTCCATACAACTTCAGGCTGGTTTTTCACAGGGGTCATGTCATGAACCGAACTGAGTCCTCAATGGAATGGGATTTAGGGGCTGGGTCTCCTGGAGATGGGGTGATGAGGATGGGGCCCACATGACTGGATTAGCACCCTTAGAAGAGATACCCTGTCTTGATATCTCTCTTTCCTCTCCTTTTTCTCTCCCTCTTCTCTCTCTCTACCTCTCTTTCTCTTTTTCCCTTTCTCCACTCCCTCCCCACACCTCTCTCAGCCACATGAGGGTCTGGGAGCAAAACTTCCCAGGACCTGACCATGCTCGCAACCTGATTTGGAATTTCAGCCTCAGGAACTTTAACAAATTTCACCAAGGCTATGGTCTTTTCTTGTGGCAGCCCAAGTGGAGTAAGGTCATATTTTCTCATACTGGATTGAGGTTATAATTTCTTTTTTTTCATCTAGAGTAGATCATCTTCAGAAACATGCTCTTCCTTGGCATCTCCCAAATTCCCTTTCTTGTCATGTGGAATATTCATAGTTTCCATGCTTATTTTTCAAGTTACTCTTCCTTAGCCAGGCACAAAAATCAGCCATAAATGAATAATCCAAATTTATCGTTGCAGTAGACTACGGAGTAATTGTTGTCCATCCTCCCTCTGCCCGTTATCATGGTGGTAATTCTCAGATCTGCAGCTGAAGGTCAAGTGACACCCAACCAGCACGGTCCTTCTAGTGGTTGTCTTTTGCTTTCCTACAGCTCTGGCTTCCTCCTCCCTAACTTTAATTGGCTCAGCTGATGCCAAAATGGAAGAGATTTTTCCCCTTCCAGTGACCTACAATTTTACTCAGGGTGGTTAGTTCCTTCAGGACACCTAGTGTCTCTACTGGCTCCCCTTGTCCTATACCTAGCTGTTTCTAGGGTGTGGTGGCACTGGCCTGCTCAGAGGAAGAAGCAGCAACCCAAGAAGCAAGTCTCATCTCCCCAGGCAGCTCCCAAGCGGCAGCTAGGGGTAGCCCTCCAAGACTCCAGCAAGCTCAGCTCCACAACACCATGCTGGGAACAGTGTGGCTTTTCTCAGTACAAATGCACAGTCCTTATCATCTGTGAAAATACTTCCAGGTCCTAGCATGGGTTGGCTATCAGACTGAGTTGCAGATACACAAAACAAGCTTCATCTTGCTCTGAATCTTTGTGGGTGGTTAACAGGTCCCACTTATTTAATACTTTCCAAGCCTGTGTCAAGGACTATGCTAATTCCCTTACAAATATAATCGTACATAATCCCCATGACAAGCTTGAAAGTGCAGTCTTACTGTCATCACCCCACTTTAGAGTTAAACTGGATTAGACAGATTAGAAAACTTGTGGGGGGTTCATGTAGCTATCAAGTGGAGGGCTGGGACTCATGTCTGGGCTGGCTCCAGAATTCCTGCCCCTGACATTTCTCAGTAACATCTTGTTTCTCACACCCTGACTATCAGTGGGGGTCACGTGCTGAGCTAGACACTTCAGTTTTCTTTTGGTTGCTGTTGTTTTGTTTTAGTGGTTGTGGGGATTGAAAGCAGGGCCTCACACACAGCAGTCAAGCACCAGACTCCTGAGCTACATCCCCAGCCAAGGGACAGACAGTTTGTGAGTGCATTCTCTAAAAGCCCTGGAGAACGGAGTCAAGCGACATTCAGAAGGAATAAATGACCAGTAGACTGGTGACGCCAGCACGCACACTCAGGCCTGTTTGATTCCGAAGCCTAGCTTCACAATGGCAGTGCCCCGCTCAAAAGTGCAGGGCCGCTCTGGGGCTGCTGGGAGATGGTAGACAAAAGGGGAAGGAAGTGGGAGACCATGGATCCCTCTGGCTCTGTCCTGTATCTGAAGGTGAATGTCTGGTTCTTCTACCAGACTATGAATTCATCAAATGCTGGGAACCTATCTGATTCACATTGGTGTTTCCCCTGCTGCATAACTGTTCACTACGTGTGTTCACTAGCCATTGGGTCAACGACATTATCTCCTCTGCAGTTTCCAGAATGCTTTAAGAAGGGTTAAGAAGAAAGCCAAGGTCCATCTTTTGACCACGACAAGGTAGAGGAAGAAGCTGCCTCAGTGGGCCTATCCAGCACCTTTCGAGGCCCTGTACCAAACTCCTCTCTTTGGGGTACAGCTGACTGCAATGTTGTAGTAACTTAGATTTTCCTTCACCCACATTTCTTCATCTCCTCACTCTATATTTTTTGTTTATTTTTCCAAATGGTCTTAGATCTTTGCAGTGATGCAACAAATACAATAAAGGTCTCTTTTTGCTGGGTAGTAAGAGAGGAATAAATCATAACTTCCCACAGAGTTGGAACAAGGAGTTTCCCACACTTGTGGTCCCACCACACCTGCCCCAGGCCTGGCAACCTGACCCCTCCCAATTCGGCCTCCTCCCAGTGTCTACACTGATTGTTATGGCACCCACTGAAAATGTCCCCTAAAGTTTTATGTATTTAGAGGTGTGGCTTTTAGAAGGTCATTGGATCATGGATGGTCTATACTCCTCCGTGGATTCATCCGTTGATGAATTCATGGCTGAATGTGCTGGTAGGATATGCGGTATGGACGAAGGTGGGTCACTGGAGTTGTGACCTGGAAGGGCATATTCTTCTCTCCGGTTCTTTTCTTTTTCTCTTTCTGCCTCCTGGCTGCCATGAGTTGAGGAGCTTTCCTCTGCTGTGCCATTTCTGCCTTGTAGCCAGCCAACCATGGGCTGAATCCTCTGAAAACCGTGAGCCACAATAAACCCTCCCTTGTTCGAATTGCAGGTACCAGGTATCTTGTCCGGGCAACTGGAAAGTGACTAATACACTGGTCTCCTATAATGCAAACCCTGTGAAGTTCTTTCCCCATTTGGTAAACTCTGGTTTGTTCCCATGAAGACAGAGTCCAAATGCCTCCCCCTGGGATTCAGAGCTCCTAAGACCTGAACCTGTCCCAGATTCTCTCTTCCCTTCTCAAAACAGCATTTTCTCTAGCTTTTGTGTGTGTGATGCAAGGGCTACCCTCACCTCCACTCTGGAAGCTTCCTGGGTGCCCAAGGCTGGACTCCCCTGCACTTCTCTTGATTGTAACTATCATTCACTTACCTACTGTCTCCTACCCAAACTCTTTGCAAATTACTCAAGGGCAGGGGCACATCTGTCCTGTTCACTGCTGTGTCCCAGCAACACTCAAAACAAGTTTGCTGGGAAAAGGTGAGTCACACGCATGGCTCCTGCCCTCAAGGAGATGGACTGTGGCAAAGACAAAGCATCTGTGTGCAGCCATTCAGCACAGCTTTGTTCCCTGCTAAGCCCCTCGGGATGACTTCCCAAGCATCTGCTATGTATCAGGCACTGTGCTAACAAGAGTTTACCTTCACAACCTCATTTAACCCAACAAACCTGCGGGGAGTATTGTCCTCTCCCATGGGTGGACAGACGGAGGTTTGGGATGGCTAACAGACTTCAAGGGCACCATGTAGCACAGCAAAGCCACTACCTGCACTTCCCTCCCTCAACCCTGTACTGTCCACAGCTCCCTGAATCAATATCCTGAGACGACCCAGCCCGACTAACAGGTAGATGCTACCGCTACAGGTGGGAGACACCACTCCCTCTGCCAGCACTGGGACTGAGCTCTGCCTCCCTCAGCTGGTCCCCACCCAGCCCTCTGCCCAGGGAGCACCGCATACTTGGACCAATTTTCTGGAATGGTTCTGGGGGCTCCTCCTTCACCTCATCAGTGGCCACGACACCTTGGTCGAAGGGGTCTGGAGGAGAACACACAGCCATTAGCACCCTGGTCACTGAGGTCTCCAGAGCCCAACCGGGGACCGGGAAGATGAGTGGCCACCGAAGACTTACCTGCTCGATTCTCAGGGGCCCCTTCCACACTGAACACTGCGCCCAGGCGGGAGGCGACAACCGCAGAGGGAAGGAAGCAAACAGGAGCCCTGTTAGTCCCTGGCCGTCACTTCCCCTGGCCGTTGCGCCCAGCCTCTGTGCCAGCAAGTTTGCCCCTGGAGCTGGGAGGGCTGCCTTGGCCTGTGTGGAAGCCCAGAAAGGGCACATCCACACCAGAACACAGCCTACAGCTCAACTCCTCCTCCTCCCGATGGGCAGGCGCCCACCCCAGGGGTAGACAGACACCCTCTTCCTGCACCTTTTGTGGACTCCAGCACGCACTCCAGGGGCGGGGCAGGAGCCAGGGGAAGAGGCTGGGAGGAGAGGTGAGAGAAAGGATGAGCCAGCTGGTGGGCTCAGGTGCCCCAGCTTGAGATGGGTTGGGGTGTGGGGCTAGAGAGGGAAGCCCTAAGGTCTTCTGGGTCCGAGACCCTCTTTCTAGGATTCTTAAGACTCCACAAATGAATTAGCTGAATTTATTGTTCTAATTTCTAGCTCTATAATCTAATGCTGAAATGCCATCATTCATTTTTAAAAACTGGTTTAATTTCACTAGAGCATGCAAATACCCAATATAAAACTATAAAATGACATGATATGAAATTCAATATTCAACTGATTTCGACCTATAAAAATGGCAATTTCATTTGGGGTATCCTAAACAGAAACACATGTGGTAATGATGAGGGCATTCTCTCTGCAGACTCGTCCAGGTCAGTTACTCTCCTCGTGCTTCTGGCTGCTGTTTGATCTTTCTCTGGCTAAGAGGAGGGCGGGCTGGGACAGGTCCCCAAGGAAGGGCACCTCTCTGTAGGACGCAAGGAGCGTGGGGCCTGACTCACCGTCCACAGCATGCAGGTCCCGGTGCTCTTGGAAACAGCTGTAGTACTTGTACTTCTTCCCACAGATGTCGCATGTGTACCTGAAGTTGTCTGAGAGGGAGGGAAAGCGACATGTGCCTATCAGGGCTTCTGTCACTGGGGGTGGGGGTTTCTGGCCAGTACATCTACCTCAGGGACCAAAGCTGGAACCACCATAGTCTGACCGCAGTTAGATGGCCCCAATGGAGAATCTCTTCCTGAGCCGTTTGGGCCTGGGAACTGCCCACATCTTCTGAACCAGAGAAGCTGCAGCCAGCCTGTCTTCTGCAATGTCCTGCAGCTCCTTCCCTATACACAGCCTCAGTGCTACACCCCCCACCCCTACTCCAGGCCAGGCTTGAGTTGCTACCTGGATCCACAGGCTTGGGCTGAGGTGACGGGGGTCCTCTGCAATCATTCAGACCGCATGAAGCAACAGGAAGCTCCTAGGGAACTCCCAAACCAACCCTCTAATCTGCCCTATGTGAGCCGAGGGCCTAAGGGCCTGGCTCATAACAGGTCTCCTTTCCCATCACAGAGGTTGTGAGAACAATAACCACAGCAGTTATTGCGCGCAAGGCACCAGGCCGGGTCCATCCCTGCCTTTCCTCAGTCCTTGCAACAGGGAGGAAAGAGACTCCCATTTACATGTGAGGAAACTGAGGACCAGAGAGACCTGCCCTAAGTCCCCTAGCGAGGTGGGTGGGCAGCTTCAGTGATGGGGCCTGTGATATTTGGCTGCTGGAGACTCATTTCCTGTGAATCTGGGCTAGGCCTCATGACTAGCTGCTAGTGAGCAGAATGTAGTGAATAGGATGGGACATCACTTCTGAAATCAGGTTACAAAAGACCATGTCTCTCTTCTTGCACACCCCAACCATCTCCTGTTCACTCTTGGCCAGCCGCCATATTGCCCAGGGCACTGGGGAGAGATATAGGTAGCAAGGGGCTGAGCGACAGCAGCCTCTGGTGAGCAGCCAATGAGCATCCGAGACCCTCAGCACAGCAGCTTGCACAGGACTCTATCCTGCTCACCACCAGGGAGTGAGCCTAACATAAGCCCTTCCCCAGTTGAGCCTTGAGATGAGACCACAGCCCTGGTCCAACTTTGACTGCAGCCTTGTGAGTGCCCGGAGACAGAGGACCCAGAGAAGTCATGCTCAAAGTCTTGGCTGTGGCAACTAGGAGGCAACAAGTGTTTGTTGCTTTAAGTTATGGGGACATGTGCCACACAGGCCTGAATTGGGATGAGTCTTCAGGTCTGCCCAGGCTGAGGCTGGAGTCCCTCTGCTGGCAATGCTCGTTAATATTTGTACCGGCATAGATGGGGCATGTGTACCCCTTCGTCTAACCAGGCCCATCCATCTCATCTCCCAGGGGACCCCCAGGCAGAGATGGTTTGGCAACTTGCTCAAGACTGTATGGGGGAAAGGGAGGGCCAGGATTCCAACACCCAGTTAGCTCCAAGTCAAAGCTGAGTCAGGGCATATGGCCTTTCTCTTCTGGGGACTGTGCCCTTTGTTTCTGGCTTGGGCATTTCCCTTTCGGCCTTTCTCCTGCTCCTCAGCATCTAAACACAGGAGCTGATAAGACCGCCTATCCCAAGGCTGCTTTGCTCAGCAGTGCTGTGGAAGGATTCTGGGCCCTCTCAGCTGAATATAGGGACAGAGATGACATCTGTCCCCTCCCCCCTCCCATGTCTGCCCTCTCCTCTGTGGCACACTGGTACTCTCTGGATGGGCCTTAACAGATACCAGGGCCATAGAAAGGAACTAGTCTCTAAGGGAGAAGCCAGCAGTGTTGGCATTTGTAGATGTTCTGAAGATGGTGGGCATCAGAATCTTCCTAGGGAAAGCCAGTGGAATGTGGGATACCAGAAGCTTGCTCCTGCTTCCCTGTTTACCCCCTAATTTGAGATGGAGGAAAGACCGCAGATGAGCTGATTCCCAGGGCCTCTCCCAGGCTGGTGTTTCCAGGACTCCAAGCTGGCTCAGGTTTTAATCCTCTCTGATAGCCAGCAGTCCAGTTTAGACCCCCCCAACCACAATGCCCCTTCCAGACCCAATTTTCAGCTTCTCCCTTTGTCCCACCCTCAATGGGGAACAGAGATAGAGAAATCTGGGGGATCTGGTTCCAGATGGGGCTGCACCTCTGAGATTCCTCTCTCACACTGACCACTGCAGCTCCACAGCTGTTCTTTCCTGTGGGCCCAACCCTTCCACCATGGGCCACGGCAGCCACCCCCAATAAGACAGAGACCCCCACCTTTCTGCCACCAAGAAGCGCCTCAACTGCCCAGCTGAATCTCATACCATGGTGTTTTCTCAGTGTGGGTGGGGGCCATGCTCCCAGCTCCTAATGGAGCAGTGGGTGTGGGCAAGAGTCATCCCCAAAGGAGGAGGCAAAAGGACTTCTCATCCGTGAAACTACCCAAGAAGCTTTCAGAACCCCAAGGAGCCCGTGGCTCAGCAAAGCCTCTGCAAACCCTTTCTAGGAAGTGGGCTCTGGAGTGAGGCTGCCCAAGCTCAAACCCTGCTCTCCCACTTAGAAGTGTGATGGACTTTGGGCATGTTCCTCAACCCCTGTGCCTCCACTTTCTCATCTGTAAAATGAGAACAGTGACAGTTCCTCATTTCCCAGAACTGTAATAAAGAATGAACTTAACAAACAGTAAACGGATGAAGAGTTGTACTGAGGAATAAATGAAAGGCTGGGCTTGGCTCAGTGGTAAAGCACTTGACTAGCATATATACGGCCCTGGGTTTAATTCCTAGCACTGGTGAGAAAGACAGACAAAGAGACAGAGACAGAATAAAAAGCACAATGCTACCATCTGGTAAATACGTGGTAAATGTGTTACAAAGAGAACCAATGTGACAGCGACAAACTGCATGTGGGCCTAATCATTTACCCTCTCAGTTCAGAGAAGGGTGAGTGGGTGTATCCTTATGCCTCTATCCTATGACTGGACTGTTCTCCTAATAAATAAACAAAAAGTCCCTGGACTAGTGTGTGACAAAACTATCACCTCTACTGAACAAGTGGCACAAGTCTGCTCTCTGGGACTCAGTGTCCTCATCTGCAAAGTGGGCAGGTTGGACATGATGTCCCCCACAGGCCCCGCCCCCTTCAGGAGGCAGGTGTGAGAGTCTGCCAGGTCCGAGCAGCACCAGTGCCCTGGGCCAAAGTGGAGGTGCAAAACTGAGAAGACAGCAAAGCACGGTGGCAGTGGGAAGTGCGTATCACAAGGAGGAAGGAGGAAGTGAGGAAAAGCCTAAAAACATGACCAGCCACACAAAGCCCAGCTACCAGCGAGCTTGCACACAACGCAAGCCAGACAGAACACAGCGGCTCCGGGGAAGGCCAGGGGCTCAGAATAGCCAGGAAAGGAGCAATAAACGTGGAATTCTTTAAAGTATATCTGACCACAAGCAGACCATGGGAGCAGGACAAGAGGGAAACTATTGAGGGAGACGGAGTCAGGGCCGGGCTTCCGCCTCCTCTCAGCCGGCGGCCCTGTGGCCGACACAGAGGACTCGGCTCAGCCTGCCTGCAGGGGATGAAGGGACCACACTGCAGAAGAAATGTTAGCAGGACCCAGCCGGGTGAAGCTCCTTCTCCAGTCCTCGTACACAGACCCCTCTGTGCTGGGTCTGTTTTATTTTCAGTAATGTTTACTTATTATCATAAAAAACACTGATGGAGGCGCATCAGACCTGAGGAACAGGGGTGACCACACTGTGGTCCCTGGGCCAGGTTCAGGTGCACAATGTCCCCGGCAAAGCCCCTGATACAAGGCAGGGCTCAGTGCTTGAGAGAGAGACATCAGGCCCTTCGGGTCTGAGCTACTCCTCATCTGGCCCGCTACAGAAAACAGCTGCTGATCCCTGACACGGGACAGGGCGCGGGATGTACACACACAGCTCAGCCAGGGCTCACAAGGGGAAAGCCCTCAGGAACCCGCCTGGCTCGTGCAGCAGTGGCACAGGCCCCCTCCTGCAACAACCTCTCTTCCAGTGCCCACCAGGCCCTCTTCACAGGTGTCTGCATTTTCTGTGGGGTTTTAGAGGATGCCTGTTTGATGTCGGGCTTCTCCGGAAGGTACGCTTGTGAGAATGATCTGTGCTGTGGAGTTCACGCTCACGGCAGGACAGCAGCCCCCCACATGAACACACTGCTCCACTCAATTAGCACTGGGCAGCTGGGTGGCTTTGGTTTAGAGCTCCTGGGATCAGTGCATGAAGAGCATTCTAGTTGCTGTCTTACGGCAGACATGTGCATCTGTTTCTGCTGGATATCCAACTAGGGGCAGAACTGCTGGATTTGGAAGCTCGGTGTTGGGTGGGCAGAGGTTCCAATGTAGTCTATACCCGCCTGGCTACCTGGCCTTCGAGGTTTAGGTCTGGCAGAGCCTCTGAGTAGTTATCGCTAGACGTCAAGGCCCCACATGGCGCCCTGAGGCACAGCACCAATAAGCAGCAGTGTCTGCTGCACATGCTCATGAGGTAACTCTCTGAAGCAGTGTTTCTCCACAGTGACACAACCCTATACCCATGAGTCAGTGTCAAAAGAACATAGAAGCTCTGCACAGCCTAGGCCCCTGGAGATGCTCGGGTATGTGTGCCAATGAAGGCAGGAATGCCCGCTTCTTCGAATATGAGTCAAGGTTTCTCAAAGCTATTTGCCCAAAGAGCTCTTTGTTTAGAGAACACCTATCAATCTCCCCAGAGTGACTATGCCATGGAACCCACTTTGGGAAAGGCCACTCTGAGCCACTGTGTTCTAGTTTCCTAAGGACCCTCTGTCCCCCAGCAACGTGGCCCGCAGCAGCCACTTAGGACTGTCTTGGGGAGGCAGCTGCTCTTCCTTCCACACTCAGCTCTTGGCCTCCACCAACCCATGAAGAGGGAGAAATACTCACTGCTTTGGGAGGCTCCCTCCCCTGAGGTGGCTTCGGTGTCTGTGAGAAAGAAGGAAAGAGGGGAAGAAGATGAGCCAAGTGATGAGGATAACAGCAGGGCTGGTGCCACTCCAGAGAGTGGCAGAAGCCACGGGGGACAAAGCCCGTCCTTCCCTGGCCCCGACATCAGCCCGAGCCAGCCCTGCGTCCCCTTCACTTCAGAATGGGAAGCAGCGGCTGGCCCCACTTCTGAGTTGTTGTGAGGAGCACACGAGGTGATGTGAACTCATGGCCTACAGGGTGGCTGATGCAGCAGCGCTGGATGTCCTGGGGCCCTCAGGGCAGAGGCCCAAGTCCTATGCTGCAGGCCCTGCTCCTGTCCCACACAAGGAGGCCTCCCTGCTGTGGCAGGATGATGGAGGGCACTGGAGAAGACAGGCGATCTTGAGGCCTCTGGGGACACTGGTGAGGGGCTCAGGGGAGAAAACAAGCAGAGAGTGGGAGGTGCAGCCCCAGGAACACCCCACTCACCTCGGTGTGCCCGTACGTGGGTCTGGAAACAGTTGTAGTACTTGTACTTCTTTCCACAGATCCCACATTCATAGGACCCTGGAAAAGACAAGAGCAGAGGAGCAGTCAGCCTGCCCCGCATCTATGACCACCGAGCTCCAGGACCCACGGGTGACAGCTCCAGGTGCTCTAACTCTATGTCGCAGGGCAGAGACGTCCCCGGCAAGCAAAGAGGGAGCGTGGCCCAGCTGGGCTAGAAGTCACAGGGCCTGAGGTCTACATCCAGGTTTGCCTCCAACTTCTGCATGACCTTGGGCAAGGTGCCCCCCACTTCTGAGGCCAGCCTCCATATCTGTAAGACGGAGAAGGTGACTTCGTCAGACAACTCTCATACCCACACCCCAAGAGGAGAAAGGAGATGAACACAAAAGTGGTGTGAAAGGAGGAACTGCACCCACAGAAAGAAATCACTCCTTCAAGGCATTAGAGGAATTCCCAGCTACCCTTTCTCAGAATGGGACCAAGAGTCAGAGCAGACTTCAGATCAGATGCATGTTGGTTCCTGTCCCCGTTTTGCTACTTCCCAGAAATGTGGTCTTAGTAATTTCCTCTGAGACACTGGCCCTCAGCCTACAAATACAGATTGGGCCCAAAGTACCCACCTCCAGGGATGGCCTTCCCTTGCTCCAAGGAAGTGTCCAGCCTAGTCCTGATTCACTCAACAAGGAGAGGACCCATCCCTACTCCCTCAGACAGACAGACAGACACTAACACCATGGAAACAACTGACCCAGCACCTGCTGGCCTCCTCCCTGGAGCAGGCAGATTGGAATGGCTGACTTCTCAGGTGAAGAGGGCCAGCACACAGTGTGGGGGCAAGGTTCATAGCAAGAAGCCAGGCAGAGCTTGTGGGACTCAGCCAGGCAAGGACCCCAGGACCTGAGGCTGTGCCCACTGCCACCCATCAGGGCCCTCACGCAGGCCTGATGCCCTCTGGACCTTTGGCCCTGCTCTTCCTAACAGAATGTCCAGGGAGTATGCATAAACAGAGGCCCTGGCCCTGGACAAGGCTGGATGCTCCAGAGTGGCTGAGGATGGGGCCTAGGAATCTACCTTTGCCAAAAAGCCCCAGAAGATTCTGATATCCAGGAATTGCTGGTTTAGAGTGATACCTGAGCTGGTGCTTAGCTGCGCCTCAGTTTCCTCATTGGAAAACTGTGGATATGCAAGACGGTTGATGCGTAGACTGCATAGGTGTGAACAGTGTTCCCAGCAAGGCCTGGATACTCAGGGAGCGGCAGTGATTGCTAACTGCGATTCTCTTGGGTGTAGACCCAGGTGTTGGAACAGTACTGGATGTGAATCCCAAATGTCATTCAGCTCTGCCACCCCGCACTGTGTGACCTCAGATACGTCCTTTTACCTGTCTGAGCCTATTCTCTCACTTGCCAACAAGTCTATGATTCCTGCCCCTCACGAGTGAGCCGGGGCCAAACAGACAACATGTGGGCCGCCTGGCACACAGCAGGCACCGAGGGAGGGTGGCCTGCACCAGTGCTGCTCCCGGGTGTCACTCCAGGGAGCACTATCATCCTAACATCCATGTGGAATTTAATGGTCTGTTATTTACGGGTTGTACATGTGTTACCCCTGCCACACAGGGAAAATATAACTGCATGGAGGGCAAAGATCAAGCTGCATATTTCTTTGTGTTTAGCCCTGTGATTGGCACACTGTGAGGGCTCAATAAATTCATGGTGTCTTGCTGTTGTACTCATCTGTCACCGGGTAATAATGATTCTGACTCTTCCGGCCGCCTCCACCCACTCTTCAACAGTTTCTGCCAATTCCCCTTCAACCAAGCAAGGATTTATTGAGCATCTGCAACAGGCCAGGCACCGAGGCTCCAACAATGAGCCACATCCAATCCCTGCCCTCCAACTAATGGGAAGCAGACAGGCCACCAGGCTGGGGAACAACCCCGGATGATGGCATATGACAGTCAGGGCAGGACCTGAGGCATCTCATTTGCAGTGAGGGGCTGAAGTTCGTGGAGTCCATACTGTTTACGGGCAAGCCAAGTCCTTCCTGGTTTTATGGGATTCACACCTCATTCCCATCTGTAGAACAAGCCACAGGACCCCAGGAGTCTTGCTGGGGGCCTCAGGAAGTCTTGGGGAAAGGGGGCACAATGGCTCCTTAGACTTTGGCTGTTTCCTGATCCTGGGCACAGAGTGAGGACCAAGCAAATGTACTTGCAGGAAGGACGCTTCAGCCTGTCCCTCACTCACCCAAAGTGGCCACACTCAGGGTGCTCAGGTATGTGGGAGGTGAGCTGCAAGGAGAGCTCACCAGAGCAGCAGCCCTACCATGCAGCAATGCCAGCCAACCTGGGATGCAATGCTGACCCGCCTTGTAGCAGTCAAGGAAGCCCTCACCAAGTCACAGGCTGATCCGTAGCTCATGATTCCTTTTGATGAAACTGCTCACAGTGGGTGTGTAGGGGGTGATAACACACACAGTGTATTATTAGCACAGGGTCTGGTACACAGAAGGCATTCAACAGATGATAGCTGCTATTATCGTTATCATATCCCAAGTTTTTTCTTTGGAACTCAACTTTCTGGAGGCATCCCAGGAAAAGAGGACTATGGCCAGGTGAGTGTGAGGAAGATCTCTTGGTGTGGTTATGTCCTGGGAAGGCACAAGGCAGGAGCTTCCGAGATCCTACTGCGAAGGAAGCCATTACTGTTGAACCTGAAGACTCAACACATGTAGCACGGGACCCTCTTGTCCCTTTGGCTTGATTCACAGTCATGGCCCCCAGGAAGTGCTGCCGAAATGGCCCAGGCGGTCTAGACTCCAGCTTTCCAAATGCTCTATCATCCCTCTAGCAGCCACATACTTCCAGGGTCCAGGGGAGGTTTACAGTTGCTACACCAGGTGGCTTGGAGTGTTGGGAAAGGTGGCCCCTAGGGGCCCTGAGATGGTAATGGGACTTATGTCCTTAGGGTGTGTGGCTATGGCTGTGTTCAGCCCTACCCCACCCCATGCTGACCCACATCAGGCCCTGTCCCTTGGCCATCACGTACCAGATGCATATCTCAATGCTTGGTCAAAAATCCAGGTCCCTGAATACCGGCTTCGCACAGATCCACCGTGGGGGCTGCCTTCGGGCGCTTTTCCATCTGAATCACGTGAGAAATCAGAAAGAGCCCTTAACATTGGAGAACGCCTGGGAGTTGGGGGAGAGGCAAGGGCAACCGGGGGCTGACTAGGCTTAGCCAGTCACCTGCGTGGTCAGGGCCTCAGTCTTCCCAACTGCATGCTGGAAGGGTGGGTAAAACCACACTGCGTAGCTCCTCACTGAAGAACTTGTGCTGCCTGGGGTACCCACTGTTCCCAGGGAGGGCAGAAAGCTGAGACAGGCCACGCTTCCTGATTTCTCTGTGTCCTGCTCCAGCATGAGGTTAAAACATAAAAGTTCTCCCCAGAATCCTTCCAATAAAATGACTCCCAAAGAGATGCACACATGTGCTATGGCCTGTGTCCTCCTGGCCCATGGCCTCTGCTGATACATGGAGACACCAGAGGGTCTTTTTGGCTTCTCCCAGCTCACAGACCCCCGGTCCTGCTGGCTTGCCCCCTGCTTGTTCTTCCTCCATGAACCTCAGCAATCACCATCTGCCCGCTAAGTGCCAAGCGCACCAGGCTTGCCAGGTGCTGTAATCCACGTCACCTGCAACACTTCCGTGCAGATCTGGCCTCGGACCCCCACGGCACAGAGGAGGGAGCAGGGGCCAAGCAGCAGCTTGCCCAGCGCCCTTAGGCAGTGAGTGGGTGTGGGCCCCACCTCTGGGGCGTCTCACATCAGCTCAGTGCACTGCCACAACTCCAGCGGGTCACTTCGATTATTTGCCCCATTTTCCACAGGTGCAAGTTACAAACTGAAGGGGCCACACTTCCTGCCACAGGTTGCCCAGATCTGCCCTGTTCTGCAGCCCGTATGTGCAAGCATCCTCAGCCTTGCTGGGGCAGCCATGACGATGCTGTAAGCAGTTAGCACTGACCGAGCACACCCAGGCCTTGCTTCCCCGCCCCATCTCTCCACAAGTCCTCAGAGGCTGGGGAGACCCAACCTCCATTTCACAAGGCAGCATACAACTCTCAAGGCAGCAGGGCTGGGGCCGGTTAGCCAGCACCTCAACGCCAGCCCCTTGCTGCAGAGCGGCAGACTCCTGCCAAGCCTGATACCTCCACAGAACTCCTAAGAGTCCCCGACCAAGTACCCTGAGCACAGCTGGTAAGGACAGCTGGCAGGGATCCCCAGCATCCTCGAGTCCAGCCTTCTTTCCCAGTTCCCTGCATCACTTGTGCTGTAAAAATCCACAAGACAAATCCTTGTTAACAGCTCTCCCCTGCATGTCATAGCACCTGGCACAACCTCTGGTTCATCTCCTTCCCAGGGAGCAGATTGGGGAGGCATGAGGGTGAACTCTCAGTTCCTATCTTGCACACCCAGCAAGCTCCAGGGATGCCCAAATGTCTTTCACAATACGCACAATGCAAGAAGATAGAAGTGCAGAGCAGGTGAATGAGAGAACACAGTTCAAATGCTCAAGGGCGTCCAGTACCTGGTTCTAAGACATGACTCGAGCCAGGCCACAGCTTGCCAAGGATGGTGGACTTGGAGGGGGAAGTTGTGGACAAGGGGGTTGCCTGCGGCTCTCTGGCGCTTGGCCTCAGGTCCACTGCCTTGTGCGGCAGGGTCACCAAAGTGGGCACAGATCCTCTGCGTATTATGGAGGGGCTTACTCGCGGCTGCTTTTCCCTCCTCCTCCCCTCTTCTCCCCACTTCCTCGCTCACCTACTTTAATCCTACCACCTTGCCTGCGTGCTCCACAATACCAGGGCCAGGTTCAAAAAGTGACAGTCTCACGACTGAGGACAATTCCTTTTCTGAATCCAAGGACTTCCAATTCTCAGCTTTGAACCAAGATAAAGAAGGATGTAATGGAGTTGTTAGCGGAGAAACCATTAAAAATACTGTCTGATTATGGCTCCGGCATGACGTTTGGCATACATCCTGGCAGGAATTCAAAGAACAGAGTGACACCGCTGACACACACCCCATCGTCACCAGTTCCTTATTATGAGCTCAAGCTTCCTAAGTGCTTACTCCGAGGAACACAGAAAACCAGGAATAAAACGAAGGCCACGACTTGTCTCATTCTAGCAATAAGAAATATTAATTCACAGATACATGAGAGAAATGAAGCCATATGCATTTCATTAAGAAATGCATTTTCAACAATTTTTTATATTTTACATTTGCTATTTATCTAAATTTCTTTCTGACAAATTGCATGCTAATAACTCAACCTGGAGAAATAAAAAAGGGGGGTTTTAAAATGTAGAGCTTTATGATCCTAGGATTTTTTTTTTTTCCCACAGAAATTTCTATTTCAATTTATGTACCTCTTGTTGTGGCGAATGAGTATGAAACAGTGATCAATAAAAGACTTTCAAGCATAAAAAATATATTACATTAGGATAAAACCCTGTGGGGGAAGCAGAGTGGAAATACGAGTTCAAGGAGAAAACGGAAAGATATAAAATTTCCGACTGCTAAAGATGAGCTTGTTCCTATGTGTTTTAAGTGACAATGGCGGGTATCAAATAGCAGTGGTGTTTGGATTCCCTTGGATGCATTTAGAAAGAGTGGTTCACAGCTTTATTTCCAGTGTCACCTTCTTTTAGAAAATACAGTATTACAGAAATCATATCCTCTGCAGTTACTTAAACTTTGGGTAAAATGTTAAATGTCAACTTAGAAATGCAAAAGAGAATATACTGTTTCTCAAATTTCTTTTAGGAGATATTGAACGAAAAATATATGACACATTGGCTTGTAGGTTCCTACCATTCCCAAGGTTACCCTAGAGATACCTATGTCCTGAGGCTTCAGCCAATACTGGCATTTGGTTTGGTTTTTGATTCCACCCTTTTATATTATATTATAGGTCTTATCTGCCCTTTCCCAATCCTTCTGGGGAGAGAAGGCTTCACTATACCCATGACTATTCAAGACACTGTAGCTCAGAGAGTTAGGGGTTCATCTAGGCCCCACAGTGAGGTACCCCGGCCCTCTGAAGTACCGCTCAGGAGCCCATCCTGACAGGGCTTCTCCAACAGGATTCCCTTTCCCCTTCAGACCACCAGATGGAGAATCCTCAGCAAAGACAAGTGGGCCGGGAGTGAGGCCAGCACCCCTCCTTTCCACGTGGCTGCCGCAAAGAGCGGAGTGTTGGTTCTGGCAGCCTCAAGCACAAAGCTCTGCCAACAGCCCATCGAAACAGGAAACTAACTATCAGCTGGCACTAGCAAGCAGGCCCTGGCACCTTCGCTGCCTGGGTTTGTCACAGGCCCAAACCCACGTAGCTGTGTCTGAGTGGCTGTCAAGCTCTTCTGTTGCTCTTTCCAGAGCCATGGCCAAGCTGCCACCTCCTGGCTGGAGCCCTTTCCTTCTTCCTCTCGGTTTGCCCCTTCCTGGGCAACCCTGCATGTGTGAAAACACCTCCTTCCCTGGGTGCTCAAGGCTCCCTGCCAGGACCGCCATGCAGAATCCATCTGATCCTTGACTCCCTGTCCAACGATCCTCTCTGCTCACCCACGTCCAACAAGGGGAACTCACTCCACAGACCTGTATTCAATTACCAAACAGTTCCCCAGCCATCAAGTCCTCCCTTGGACTGAAATCACCTTCTGGTGACCTCTCCAAATTGGCTGAGGCTACTACCAGGAATGTATCTGTTCCACTGTCCCACCAAATGCCGTGAGTTGTATTTAGATTCTACCATCATCCTCCCCCTTGCCACCCCACTGTCCCAGCCTCCTCTTCCCCATGACACACAATCCTTAACTCTTCCACAGGGCTCTTTCACACACTGAGATAATCCTCCAGCAATAAGCTGGGTGGTCCACTTCCTTCATGAGAAGAGGAGTCCAGTGGAGGCAGCACCACTCACTCCCTCCACAGTTCTGAACCACCACTAGGAAACTTGGTACACTGAGGTCTCCATATAACCGAGGCCCTCTTGGGACTCCTCATCTGGACCCTCCTTGGGATTAAGGACCGCTGGTCCCATAGCGCAGAGAACAGCATCCACTGCGTGGCGGTACATTCCAAACACCATGATGGGTTCCAGGTAGCCTTATCTTTTAGAACCAGGAAACAGCCCATGAGCTGGATGTTCTGGAAGCCCAGCTTGCCTTGTTACCATCTAGGGCAGGGGTTCTCGGTCCCTGGGTTACAGACCAATACCAGTCTTAGGAACCAGGCTGCACAGGAGGAGGTAAGGGGTGGGCTAGGGAGCGAAGTTTCACGTGCATTTTTAGGCACTCCCCACTGCTCCTGTTACTCCCTGAGCTCCACCTCCAGTGAGATCAGCCGCAGTACATTCTCATGGGAGCAGGAACCTTAGTGTGAACTGTGCATGTGAGGGTTCTGGGTTATGCGCTCCTTATGAGCATCTAATGTAAAAACAGTAGAAACAAAGTGCGCAATAACTTAATGTGCTTAAATCACCCCGAACCCATCTTCCCTTTAGCCCATCCATTGGGAAACTGTCTTCTCAGAAATCAGCTCCTGGTGCCAAAAAGGTTGGGAACTACTGATATAGGACAAGAATGGCAAGCAGCTCTCCGGTGAGTGACGGTGTGCAGTGGCCAGGGAGCAATGCCTGCCATGCACACGACACCAGGCAGCCGTGCTGGCCGTGCACAGGGCTGCTGTACAGAGGTGTGGCTGCAGCTTCTCAGGTGGGCACAAGCATGCACCACCTTGCTTCTATCCAGTACTTCTGGTTTTATATAACAAGGACGTCAAGTTCATTATTATCTCTGCTCTTGCTAAGAAAGGAAGCTTGGCGTTTTCATTCCCAATCCCATACCAGTTCCAGTGGCGGTGGTTCTAAGAGGTGGAGATTCCCTTCTCAGCACAAGGGCTTTTCCGGGCAACAGGGTAGTAGCAACTGCTGTAAACTTTGTACCCAACCTCCTGGACACCAAAGCCCTTCTGACTCTCTCAGCCAAAGGAGCTGCTAAATGCCATCTGCCTGTCCATGATCTGGACTGCTCCATGGAAGTGCCTTGGATAATGTCTGTGTCCCTGGGAACACTGTCTGATGGTTATGAGTGGCTAGTGGGAACTTGGGGAGGCTCCTCATGCAGCAGCCCTGGGTGACTGTATAGGAACACTATCCTACTCAACTACAGAGGCTGTCTGTAAGTCCAGAGCACGGCCGGGTAAGCAGAACAGAGCAGAGCATGTGCACTCCCCATCCAATGCCTCAGGAACATGTCAGTGGTCCATGTCCAGCCACCAGGACATAGAACACACACAGTGGCACAAGCTCACTTAAAGGCCTGGGTCTCGCCAGCTTCCCACCACAGATGGGACCCTGGGACACTTTCTCTCCTTGCTTTGCTTTCAGAAGTGAGCAAGACACAAGTGTAGGGAAGTGAGTGGGTCCTTCATAACCTGGAAGGAAATGTCACCAACTTGCTATGTAACTGAGCAACTCTCCCTTTTCACAGTCCCTTGTTAGCCTCTCTATAACATCAGGGAGTCAGGGGTACCAATTGACACCATGTGTAGCCCCACTACCTACCTCCACACCCAAGGCAGACATCAACAATCAAATACACTACTCTTCAAAATCTTCACCACAGAACTCCCAATAACAATTGCTTGCTCTTGGCCCACAAGACGAAATCTACCTGGGGGCTGGGGATTTAACTCAGCGACACAGCGCCTGCCTGGCAAGCACAAGGTCATGAGTTCGATTCCTAGTACCAGAAAAAAGAAAAAAAAAAAAGATGAAATCTACCTGCTATCTGGACATGAGATGGGTTCAAAGGGTCCATCCTCAGGTTGATTTTTTTTTAATGCCTTTCTTTGGTGGCGATGAGGCCAAGACAGCTTCCTCTGAGCTTGACTCTCAGCAGAAGCAACCCCTTCCAGGAGGCCTGCCTGGGGATGTGAGCTAAACTACTATAGCCAGCAGGGAATGAGGGCTCCAGCCCTGCTTTGGTACAGGCTCCAAAATCGTAGCTTCACTGCAACTCACCACTAGGGCTTCTGCCACCCTCCCCACAAAGGTGTGTGGAGAGCAAGTGACTGAGACATTTCACAAGATATTCAAAGCCCTCAATTCTAGAGATTCAACCCTCCCCAGAAGGAAATCTGGGGCCTACCCAGTGCCAACTTTCTTCCCCATCCCATTTTTTTTTCTCTGCATCACAGTGGCTTATTTCTTAGACTGGTGAAAAAAAGCTTAAATGATTAGTACTCCTGCCCCTAGAAGAAGTTCTTCATGCCATGAATACTAGTACTACTACTAATAATAGCTCATCCATTGCTCCCTAAGCTCCACGTCAAACTCTCTGCATACATTACCTTATTGCAGCCTCACATAACCCTGCGAATTTGCAAGTGAAGCACTGAGGCAGACAGGGCGAGCACTTTGCCCAAGGTACCACATCTCCGAAGTCAGAGACCCTGGATGCACTCTCAGCTGGAAGAGCTGAGCTCATTCTCCTCATGCAACACTGCTCTTCCCGGGGTCACTCCAGATTCCCACACCTGTGAGGTGACCAAGACAGGGGCTGTGCTTCATTTAACAGAGGATGCTAAGGCACAGTGAGGTCAAGGGCCCCACTGCTGAGCGAGAAAACAGCATTGGTGCCGGCACCGGGATCATGGGCCCTGGGGCTTTCACCGGACAGCCCAGAAGCTCCCAACATTCCCCGGCCTGGCTGCGTAGGCTTTCCCCACGGGATCCCTCTCGAGACTCAGATTCCACAGCCTTTCACTGGGCAACTCCTGGTGAAGAACATAAAATAGCTACTGGCTCTAATGAGTCTTAACACTACCCCCCTACACACACACACAGCAAGGGCATGCTCTGTGAAAAGCAGCCCTGGAAAAGACCATCCTCTCATTTGGCATGGGGTGCATCTTTTTGGTTCACCTCCATGCTGCCATGTGGAAAGATGGTGGTTGCCAGCCTCCCTAAGGTAGGGCAGGGCCATGGGACTAGTTCTGGCCAAGGATTGTGAACAGAATTAACAACTCTCCACTCTGGCTGCAGCAGTTAATTGCTGACATGAGCCTGCTCATTTGGCTGGCAGAAATCCACATAGCAGCTACTTTTCATCTGGGTCCAGGGCACAGAAGAGGCCAACATGACCCACAGTGGACACACAGTGTGAGTAAGAAATTTGGGATTTCAAGCTACCAAGATCTCTTGTTACTTTCTTTGGGGAACTTTTGTTATTGTCTCATAACGTAGCCTCATCCTGATGGTTACAGCACCACTGTCAATACTGCTTGCCAGAAGCCAAAGACCTTGCTAGGAATTATAGACAGGGTAGGAGGAGGGACTATGGAGATACAAATCAGCAGGTCCTGGAGTTCCAAGCACTAGGGGCTCCCAAATGCAGAGCAGAATTAGACACAGTCAGGGCCTCTCACCTAGAGGCAGTAGAAAGTGACCTAATGAGGGGACAGAGCCAGGGGAGGATGGGGACAGACTCCTCTGACCAGAGGAAATCAAGGAAGGATTGTCTTTTTTTTTTTGTGGTACCAGGGATCGAACTCATGACCTTGTGCTTGCCAGGTAGGCACTTACGCCACTGAGCTATATCCCCAGCCCCAAGGAAGGATTGTCTTAAAGAATGGGTTAGATTTGGCAAAGGGCAAAGGCATTCCTAGGAGAGGCAAAAGCACAAAGTGCCCGAAAAGTAGGCAGCCCTGGAATAAGAGGGGCGGGACACAAAAGCACAACTGAGTAGGATGCTACCACCAGCCAAACTAATAATGGCCACAACCCAGAGGAACAGCTGGACGGGAGCGTGAGGCCATGTGTCTGGGAAGAAAGGGCCATGGGACTTGTGAAAACAGACACCAGGAACCGCCCCCATGAGGCCCCAGGGGCCACACACAGCATCCATATCAGGAAGGCAGGTGTTCAGAAGTCACAAGGAGGTGGGTCAGAGCCAGACCGGGAAGGGCAGGCAGTGACAAAAGAGGCAGCAGCACTCTGAAGAATACACCTAGCAAGGGGATTACGGAGGAGGGACCAGATTGAAACGGAAGTCTGGGACCAGACCAGGAAGGGTCTCAGGGCCAGGCTGGGGACTAAGACTTTCAATTCAGAGCAGGGGCTGCAAGCCTGGCCCTTAGAATGAATGACCCACCAACATGCTTCATTTGATTGATTTTAAAGCTGAACTTCTTCCCAGTGTTGAAAGCCAAAAAGAATGCATATCGTAGTTTTTATTTTTGGTTCAGGATTTGTGCAGGGAGCTGGCCATGCCAAGCCCAGAGAAGCAGCTTCCCTCTACCTGTGGGGAGTGGGTGCTCAAACTGGACATGTGTCCCCATCCCCTGCCTTACTGTTCCTCTCTACTTATGCTACAGAAGCATGTTTGCTGGGCCTCGTGGGGCTGTGAACCTGGTTGTAGAGAAGTCAGTCATAATAACCAGTTTCCCCAGAGCTCCCCTAGGTAAGGTAAGGTGCTGTTCTGCCTCTGATCTGATCTTGACCAGGTGTCTGCTCTGAGCAGGACCTACACGGTGAACTGCCCATGGTGGCTTCCAATCAAGTCAGGGGAGAAGGAAAGGAGAGCGGCATTTGGACACTGAGCCCTGAGAGCTCTGTTGGCACAGCAGTGCACCTCAGGTCGTGAGGGATTCACAGAGGCTGTAGGTGGTTCCAAGCGCATGACTTCAGCAAGGGGCTGATGGATGGGCAGGGCTTTGCCCATCAGGCAGAAAGAGAAGAGCTCTCCAGACTGGGATTTGTCAAGAAAAACCAAGTCCCAGGAAGTTCGAGGGGACTCTCTCAGCCAGGGAGGGGCACAGAAGCTAGGCCTTTCTCCCCAGGACTTGGGCCCGGCCCCGACCCTCACAGAAAGGCACTCACCGAGGGTCTGCTGGTTGCGGACGCCGCCGATCACCACGCAGATCTCAGCAGGCACATCGCCAGTCCCGTCCTTACCGACGGCCTTCTTCTCCTCCTTGGCCTCGCCTTGCCAGATCACTTCCTGGATGTAGTCATCAGGCAGCTCCGTCTTCACCTTCACTTCCGTCATCGTCCCCTGCTCGGCACTCAACGAGGCCTCGGCAGGCACAGGCTCCGGGCCCTCCACCTTGGCGCTCTTCTGGCTGCGCTTCAAGCGCTCCCTGGGAGAGAAGAGTCTGCTCAGAGTGGATCCCATACCTGCCCACACGGGAGCCCGCCAGCCTATGGCAATACAGAGACAGGCCAGGCTGGGTGTACAGTGGACAGTAAGGCTCCCAGCCCACTTTACCTTCCCATAACCCTCATGGTTACCCAAGGCTCCTCTAAGAAACCCCAGAGCTCTATGAAACAATTTAAAACCACTGAGCTAGTATGGCTCCAACTGCACCCATTTCACAGATGGGCAAGTTAGAGCTAAGAAGTCCAGATGTGCCTAGCACCCTCCCTGTTTATACTTATCACAACTGGAGTTAAAAGAGACCTCTTAAAAGGGCACCTCTGGCTGGTTGAAATGTTCTCCAGTTTCAATGTGCACAGGAATCAGCCAGGAACTTGGACAAATGCAGGTTCTGGTTCAGCAGGACTGGGCTGGAGCCCGAGATCCTGCACTACTAATAAGCTCCTAGGTCAGGCGAGCGCATGGACCGCTAAGTACATTTTGCTCTGAGCAGCAAGGGTTCCAATGAGCCAATGCACATCCACCGTTCCTTGGCAAGAGGGCTAGAGAGCTTGCCTCAGCTTTTCCCTGCTCCTGTGTTACAGATGGGGAAACTACAGTCCCTAAATGGCTCCCATGGCTGAAGTGTCATGGGGCCAAATTTGGGAGTGGAAGTGGCTCCTTCAACATCTGAAAACATCTTTAAGGTACTGAGGTTGGTACTGAGCAGGGCAGGACATGTTACCCAGCTTTTGTTCCATGAGGACTGAGGCCCACAGCAGGATTGTAACCCACTCAGGCCACCCACACAAACAGCAGTGGGTCAAAGCATGAATTAGAGGCCTGTGAGCCACTCCCCTTTTGGTGTGATTCTACGTCACCCTGTGGCCCCACATCCTTCAGCAGGCAAACAGTCACATGACTCCTCTTTCCGAGGTGAGGAAATGGAGGCATGCACCCACTGGAAACCAAATCATACGCCCGGCCAGGAAATCAAGTCATATTCCTGGCTTGGGAATGCATCCAGACTGGATTTCAGTGCTGAGACTCTTTGCACTCACAGGCAAGGCCCACCAGCAAGCCACCTGGAGAACCACCAAGGTGCCAGAGCAGGGAGGCAGGGCCAGGGCTCTGATTCTCATCTGCAGGGGGCTTGCAATGTGGCTCTGGGCCAGACCCTTCTCCTCGCTGGGCTTTACCAGTTCCAGCTATCACAGAAGCATCAGTGGTCTCATGTCTGCCGTCCTTCCCAGCTGCAGCAGTCTCCCAAAGTGGAGAAAGGTGGCAAAAATGAGCAAAGAGGGGGAGCGGTCCCACTAATGAGAGGACTGCAAAGAAGATTGGTGAGGTGCTCCTGAGCACACTGTCCCCTTAAATTCATATGCTGGTGTCCTGGCCTCCACTATATCTGGAGTCAGGGTCCTTAAACTTAAATGAAGTCATGAGGACAGGGTCCTCATGATGGCATTAATGGCTTTATAAAGGCAGGGAGAGAGGGAGAGAAGGAAAGAAGAAGAGAGAGACAGACAGACAGACAGATACTGCTTTCTCTTCCAAGAAAGGACACGGTGAGGAGGTAGCTACCCAAACCAACTGGCACCCGGATCTTGGATCTCTGGTCTCCAGCCTGGGAAAAGAGACATTTCTGTTGTTTCCTTATGGCTTGGAGTCCTCGTGTTCTGCTACAGCAGCCAGTGTGGACTAAGGAGGAGGCAAGGACTCAGCGGGACAGAGCAGGAGTGACAAAGCAGGCCGGGGAGACTATTCCAGGCATGTGCGGCCCACACCGGCCACCTCACTGCTCAGCCTCAGGTTCTCCTTTTACAAAGTCCTTGGCAACCAATACAGTTGTTATTTTGGTTTTAATCAACACACACACCGAAGGCACTCAGCACAGCACATGGCCTGCAACCGTTCCCTTGACTATTAACAACACCCTGCAGGGGCATCTTCAGCACCCTGTGGCCCAAGGATGCCTCTCCTCAGTGTGTCTGCACATCAGGGCCACGAGACACCATCTGATCGTTGGCCCTCCTCTACTGGACGACTCAATCAACTAAGAAGTCATTTCCTTTATTACTGAAGAAACTTAAGTCGAGCTTCCCATTGCCAGGCACTGCTGTAACACAGGAGCTCCTTCTTTCTCAGCCACAGCCCTGGCGGGTGAGTCCTGGCTTATCCCCATTTACAGTCCAAGAAACTGAGGCACTGGGAGATGGAATAAATGTTCCAAGACATGTGCATGGTGAGAAGTGAGGCTGGGGCCTGACACAGGTGTCCTGGTGCTCAGCCACAAAGCACCTGGACTGGATAGGAACCTGCGAAAGGAAATCCCCCACTCCAGCAGCTCTGGCAGCCCCCATGCCACCCACTCCTGACCTTCCACACCCACAGCAGTCAAACCAAGGTGCAGGGGTGGTGGCACACATGAGGACAAGTGGCTCCCTGGCTGCCTGCAGGGGGACACCTGAGCCAGAGCCCTTGGGGAAGGGAACATGGCCCCCACCTGGCTGGAAGGTCCGCACACAGCAAGGAAACCTCTAATTCTGTGAGGCTCCAAGAGATGACAGGACCAGCTGCTCTAAGAAGTCCCAGGTAGAGGTGAGGCTCTGCAGAGGATGGAGATTCCTGTCTGCTAACAGAAAGGAAACCTAGCCTGGGACAGCCCTGGTCAATGGCGACACTGAGCAGAGGCTGGCTGTAGCCCAGTGGGAGTGAGGAGTCATACAGTGAGAGTCCCCAGCTTGAAGTTGGATCGTCCCAGAGGCAAATCTTGGAACTGCTGTTCTCAGACTGTGGGCTTCTGCATAGGCCAAGCCTTGGACTCCACATCCACACAAGGGATAAACACGGTGCCTGTGTCCCAGTGCTCTAATGTCCATGGCCCGTGTAGATATCCTATACTGGTGTCTCCTCTTTTCTGTGGGAACAGGGAAGAAGAGGGCCACAGTTTGAGTGTATCTCCCAAGCCCCGTCCCCAGGGTCATGCTGTGAGAAGTGATTACAGCACAGAGGCATTGCCACCAAAGGATGAACATTGGTCTCATACGAGCAGATTGTTTTAGAGTGAGCCTGACCCTTGCACTGTTCTGGCTTCCCATCTCACCATGTGATCCCTCCCTCCTGCCACTGGGCCACCATCTGCCAGGAGGGCTAACCAGAGCTGAGCATATGCGGGTGCCATGCCCTTAAAACCAGCAGACTCTGAGCTAAAGACACCTCTTTTCTCTATAAAGTATCCACCCATAGGTGTTTTGTTATAGCAACAAAAGTGGACTAATACAGAGAGTGAACAGGGTATGCAAGGGAAGGATCTTACAAAGCACAGACCCATGTGTGGCCCATGGATTTAACTGATGGGGTTTCAAATCCCAGCTCTATCACTGTTGGGCAGTGGGAGAGCAGCCTGGGTGGATGCAAAGACCTTCTTTACAGTTGCCCATGGAGCAGAGGTGACCATACTGATGGAAGCTGGCAGCCAACCCCATTCATCAACATGAAAGAGACACAGAGTTCTACTCACTGACTAAGTCCACAAGCTGCTAATGACCAGCCAGTCCTGTCTGCCTTGAGGGTAAAAAGACAGGACAGGTGGGGACAGAGAGGCTTCCGACCCAGAACATCCTTGCCCGTGGTTTTGTCTCTGCCGATGTTCTGAAACAGACTGATGTCCTTTCCCGTCCCCCAGGTCTCTGCCAGCACCGAAACACTGGCTGGTAGGGAGGGGCTGTGGGGTCAGACAGCTGGTATAATTCACCTGTCCACCTGATACACTGAGGCCTTGGGCAGAAGAGCCCTCTCTGAGCCTCAGTTTCTTCATCTGTTACAGGAGGACCATGATCCAACTGGCAAGGATGATGCCCGTGAGGAGCCCAGCCAGGGGTGGATGACAGGGGTGGGTGACTTTTACAGATGGCAGCTACCATTATAATGACAAGGGTTGACAATGTCCTCCTCTCCTCTGGGAAGCCTTCCAGTTCACCGGAGTCAGAGTCTGACGCCCTCCTTGAGTGTCACATCACCTTTCAAAGGTGCTTCTTCCAGCCGTCCTCACATAGCATGCTAATGATTCACCTTAGTGTATGCATCCTCTTGCTGACCACACGCATCTAGCTTCTAGCTCCTCTCCTCGTGTTTTTCCTTCGTGGCTCCAACTGTCATTTGAAAATAGCCTGTCCACTTGTGACTCACCAGATCATTTATACTCTGAGGGAAGGTGGGGTAGTCTTAGTCCTGGCACTCAGGGAAGCTACAGCATGTGCTCCAAATATGCTGTACTTACCTAGTGACCAGAAGAACACCTGTCTCCTGGGAAGTGTGCAATGGGACTTAAAGCTGCTGTGACTGACTCCCGAGGGCCCCCTGGGACAGAGGTACTCTGCACCATGGACAGTCACGCACGAGCCACAGGCCTGGAACAACTGCATCATGGAAGAGCCCTCTCTTCTTAAAACAAAGGGATGCGGCAAAGCTGGGACCTTAGCAAAACCATCCTTTATCCTTGCACTGAACTACCAGCCTCAGGTCACCTGGGGTGTGGGAGAGGTGCAGGGAAATGACCTCCCATGGGAAGGCAGACTCCCCCGCCGCCTTCTGCCTACACCCTGCACCCTAAGCAAGTCAGAAGCCACACTGAGTGATACAGCTGCAGCTCTGTAACCACTCAGAGCCCTGGCTTACCCCACGGAGGATGGGAGCCAAGGGAGCCACCCCTTCACACTCACGGGTGGGAGAGCACATAGCCATGCACGCCCTTAACCATGACAGCCCTAAGGCCTGATGGTACCAAGGACACCGCCAACTTCCCTCTCTTCCTCTGACTTCTGAGCTTTAGATTTACAAGCCCAACACTGCTTTTCTCGGATGCTTTGCATTTAATTAGGTGTCCTAATAACAATGGAATTGCAGAAGTACTTATATCACTTTGAATTAGTGGTGCAGCTCCTTCTAACTTCTTTAAAAATTTTTTTCATATATCATTTTTTAAAATAGAGCTCATTATTT